TGTGGAAACAAAATTCTGAATGTTTGGCCAAGTGCTGAGTAAATATATGATTGTTTCAGTTTGTGTGATGCTTTGATGGCATTCGACCCCCGACCAATCCTATTTTATTAGGATTTCAATGGTATTCTTTGTTTTAAAGGGGGGTGAATACACGCTGAGATATTTACGTTATAAACAATTGAGTCGTAAAATCGTCAAAATGTCGCTTGTCGATAAAGAGTTAAGTTTCCTCCATAGAGTTTACTCTGTCAAATGTCAGCCAATTTATTTGTGAAGGGGAGCATCTTGTGCACGAAGGAGTTAATTATATAAAAATGATAAATCCAAGATGCGCAGGTACCATTGACAATACATTATCAGCAATGCCAATGCAAACCTCCTCGAAACACAATAACATTGTGCCAGGTGCCCTTCATAACGTATAATTGTCTAAATAAGTTAAGCAATTCAAGATTGCTTTTGAAATTATAGAAATTTATAGTTCTCAGAGACTATTGCGGAGCTCGATTTCAACAAAGACATGTATAAGCAACAAATCTAACACGAATTTGCATCATTTCACCAAATCGCAGAGGTTCCCGAGATAAATGCGATGAAGTCGTTTATTTGATGCGTATCACAATACAATTTATAGTAATTTATGTTACACATGAGGTAAAACTTCGTTGAATACGCCAACTTCCATTCAGGTATTGCAAAGTGCGGAGCTCACAACGAATACTTCAATGTTTGAATTGTTTATAAATTTAAATCAAAATCAGTTCGGATACAACCAACAGGTTCCCAGTTGAGTTGAATTTTGGCTTTTTCGATCACGAAACCACTGAGAAATGTCATCTTTCGCATGCTACTTTATCTACCAAATGCTTTGAGTAAAGCCTTCTTTGGGTAGCCATCTTTGTTTTTGTCGTTTGAAACTAGTTACTAGTCCTTTTAGCGTTAAATACAGCCTCAATACTTCATGTTATCCGTGTGTAACTGGTTGATTTTCGTGTTTTTGTATGTTGCTTTCCCGCGCAAAAATCAAAATGTCAGATTTACTAGAAGACTACAGTAAGCGAAAGCTTGACTGGAAATTGAAATTGGTTACAGAATCACCTTTAAGTTATGTGAGGCATCAAGCAGATTTAGTGAATGAAATCCTGTTCTGTGTGGAAATTCCATGGGGATTACTTAATTTATGGAAAACAATTCTAGAGCACACTTCCTGTGAAAATGCAAATATTTATAATTATGTTGATCTTGTTAATGCTACTTTTGTCGACCAATGGTGTAAAATAAAACGTAATAATCAACGCATTAACGAATTGCTTTGTAAGCAGTGCAGTTATGTTAGTTCTGTTCATAAAAAAGCCAAGGGAAGAAAGAAAAACAATTTATTAAATGATAACGTCTATAAGCTCAGTGTTAAGCGAGGGGAAGTGGCAACCTCGCAAGCCAGGGTCTTTTACCTGCGCTCGGGCTCCGGCGAAGACCCTGGTTCCCTCTGGTCACGTGAACCCCCAGATTTTAGGGGTAATTCGAATTGGCGCCTCTTTGCCACTTAGGGAGGAGTGGTAGGGGGAATTCAAGAGCGAAAACAAAAAAATCTACAGGGTGTATCAAAATAAATGCAATTCATCTTTTGTGCTTAATAACTTTCGAAATACTATCTCTAGTTAAACGCTTTTAGGCTTACTTCAAAGCCTGTTCTTTTCTCTTTCAAATAAACTAATTATCCTTGTCCCCAATGCTTGTAATAATTGCACAGGAAAAGATTTAGTAAAACCTATCATTTTTAGTTGCTGTTTAATTATGCTAGTTTACTATGTTATTGTTTAGTCGGTTTAAATGTTAGAATTTTCTTCTTTAAACTTTAATGTTGTCGTCACTACATCTGGAAAACCACGTAAGAACAAATTAAAAGTATTTTAAAAGAGACCAGTTGTTTGAAAATCCTAAACAAATGCTAAAAATCGTCAAAACATTCTGGTGTCTGAGCCAGAGTGTCATCGAATTGCGATGTAATGTAAACAGAAATTATAGCAAGTTGATGTCAGTCGGCTTGGATGGTCCAAGCCAAAATTATATCGCATTTGAAGTTTCAAACTGAGTTAAAAATAGTGGAAGAAAAGCCGTAATTATACTTATTGTTACAATCCATTTAATAAAATGCAACATTTTTTTGTTTTAATGAAAAAAACAGTTATTTTGATGAGAACGATTTGTTAATTCCATCTCAATTTTTTTAATCTCCAATCGCAATAACGTAAAGTATTATTACCCGAGAACCAATGGGTCAAATTTAAGAAACAACCCACTGTTAGAAAGCTGAATGGCTACGCTTTAAAATGAATGTAAACTTTAACGTTTTTGTCTATTATTTGTTTAGCAATTTACATTTCAGTCGAGGATTGCGCTTTTTTTGATACACCCTGTAGATCATTGCTTGCTTGTAATTTTATTTGGTTTGACTATGTCTTTGGAATGTTAAAAGACGAAATATCATCGATTCTGTCTCTGTTGTCTTTTTTTATTTTGATTATCAAGAACACAAGATGTCAACTTTCGGAGTCTGTTTAGTACAGTAACCTCCTCCGCAAGCATGACAGGCAACTATGATGGTATTCAAACGGACTTTTATGAATAATGTCGTAATTAGGAATTTCGCCCCCCGGGGGCGAAATGCAGGGGGGGGGGCGAAAATCCTGGGACACCGGCGCCAATGCGTTGTATCCCAGGGTACCCGGACATTTTGCCGAAAGACATTTTGCCGAAAGACGTTTTGCCGACGGACGTTTTGCCGAACGGACGTTTTGCCGAACGGACGTTTTGCCGAACGGACGTTTTGCCGAACGGACAGTTTGCCGAAAGGACAACTTGTCGAAGATAGAGATGTTCTTTCGTCAAAATGTGCCACATTTTTCAACTTTGTAATTCTCAACCATTGTGTAAAATAACCATTATATGGTATTATATAGCAATGCATAATGGTTCATTAACAGTGCATAATATGTCGTTAGCAGTACGGCATATCATATTGACTATGGGTAGTTTGTTTGTGCAGCGGATGACTCATTTGTTAGGAACGTGTTTTGAAGTCACATCGTAAACAAGCAAGCGTATATAAAGACAACGACGTAAGCGAATTTCACTTTGAGAATCATTGAATACATATTACATTCACAGTTCTCGGGGTGTTGAATCTCTCTCCTCCGCAGAGGCTTTAATTGGCTATGCATGAAGGCGCGAAGCCTCTGCACGATGTCACACCCAATATGGCGGTAAACCGGGGGGGAGGCGTATAATTATCAAACGCAAAATTCAAGTCAAAATGACTGAGAAAATATCTCTTTACAATACTGCAACAAGCTGACAAAGAGATTATTTACTAGATCTACGAAATAAGAAAGTGTTATGTTCAGTTTGCGAGAAAACATCTGCATTTTTTCTAGACAAGGTCTCCATCTACAGTATAAAACAATGCACGGAAACAACGTATTTAGCGAACAGGTTTTGGTTGCAAGCGAAGAAACTTTTATTTAAATTTATATTTTACATTTGTATTTTCAGAAATGTGTCCAAAACCGCATAAAAGAAAAAAATGAGTATGTATAGCATACAGAACATTATTAAATTTATTATCAAGACTGAAAATACAATTCAACTAAGACAACTATTTCAACTTCAGCAATATTTATAAACAAACGCGACCTTCAGTCGGTTTCGACCTGATTTATTTGGAGGTTCGTATCTTTGGTTCAATATACGCTATGTAGATGAAAATACCACCGTTCGATTCAGTACAAAAATATCTCCTAGTTTCTATCGATATTTTAGTGAAATGTCAACACTATAGCGATTTATGACCTTTGAAAGTCAAGCGGGATTTTGTATATTAATATCAAATCACGCAATGTTTACACTTGATAAAAATATAAACTAGGCATACCTTTCGGCGAACATAACTTCGGCTCCTTGGGACGCATCCTCTTTGTATTACTCTTGTTCGAAAGCGAATTCAAAACACTACTTAGAGTGTTATTTTTGAGCTTGTATCTTGAAAACTTCATCTTTTATTATGGTATTTCCATTCCTGGTCTGATTGTGAACTAATTCCCGAACATCAGCGTGTGACAGGCGCGTGCGACTGTGCGAGTAAAACCCCGATATTTTGAAAAATTAAAAATAAATATTTCTACTGGCCGTATTCAAAAGAAATTTTCTACACGAAAGCGCTTGAATACAAGGAGTATTTTACTTCTTTGACTGGTGGCGAATTCCGAAGAGTTCAAGAAATATTCAAGTTTTTCTCGATACGAAATACAGAATGTTTCGCCAAGCGGCGAGTAAAATATACGATTGTTTGCTTTGTGTATTAAATGTTAAAAAATATTACTTTTGACCATCCACAAACATGCAAGCACTAGTCAATGAGGTCAATCAATCATGCATTAAATAATGATTTAATTTTCAAAAAGACGTTTCTTGTTTAGCTTAAAAATCACCTTTTGTTTCGATGTTTACACTTTGTCCCACTTTGCGATGCAAATCGTGCAGAGGCTTCGCGCCTTCCTTCGCCTTTCCCTTTGCAGCCTGCGCTCCTTCGCCCAGCGGCTACGCTCGTGTTTCCAGATCCGCCATGTAAAGTGTAGTGAAATGTATCTCATCGTAATATTATAAAATCCTAAGAAAACTAAAGCCTCTGCGGAGGAGAGAGATCCACTCCCATTAAGCAGCCACTAAGTGTCACATGTCATGTTTGTGACCATTCAAATGGCAAAACGATCCTTACTAAAATATAAAAGGCACCTCTGCCCCCTTCTAGTAAAAGGCAGGGGGGGGCAACCTCCCCCAGTTCCGGCATCCCTGAACCAATTTTAATAGCCAAATGTAGTGGGGCAAAAAGTGATAAGCATGCGGAAAGCATGCACTTATCATGTACAAAGAACTTTTGCACTAATTACTAACCATTATATCTTTAATTTACTAATATTTTTAATGATAGGTTGGTTTTCATCTGCAGCCAGACACAACAAACTCTGGGTCAGTCCCATGTCCACACCAGTACCAAGTCAGCCAACACTATCCTCTGGAACTAAAGAGCCAGACACAACAAACTCTGGGTCAGTCCCATGTCCAACACCAGTACAAAGTTGGCCAACACTATCCTCTGGAACCAAAAAGAAAGTGCCTACTGGTAGTATTTGTACACATGATGTAATATTTAAACTTCCCGTCATATACGTCGGAAAACAAGTAATACGGAGCTATATGAGTTAATCAGTTTTTATACTTATATAGGTTGAACTTTATTGCCAGTTTATATGTAAAAATCAGTTGCTGTCTGCTAAAGCATTACAATTGATTTTACAAAACTTTTATGTTGGCAACTAAATTGCTAACTTGGAAAGTTTGAATGTTTAGAAATGCATATTTCACAAGTAATGTTTACAACATGAGTGGCCGTGTTGTATCGGATATACAAACTCGAGCCGAAGGCGAGAGTTTGTATATCCGATACAACACGGACGCAAATTTATATAAATCAACATGAATCTGTATCACATATACAGATGCGACACGCAATGAGTTTTTAAGTTGGTTTATAAACAAAGCCCCCAATTTCTCCCTAATTAAATCACATACTTAACTTGCAAATCAGCTTGCAGTTGATTGGCATTAGAATACCAATAATCTAAAAAATAGGAGTGCATTGTGTACATGTACAGTAGATAACAAGAGTTGTCTAGCAAATTGCCTTAAGAGGGGATCCAGCAAGGTTTTTCTAGGGGGTTCTGGGTGAGCAGCCGAGTGAATTAGGGGGTGAGTTAGACCCCTAGAAATGCCATTTCCTGCAATATGGGCATTGAATTATGAGCTTCAGTTTGACGTCTTTTTTTACATTTTACATTCGAAGTAAGCGGACGTGTTCGAACGGGCTCCGCTATGTCTACTGAAAAAGTCTAACTATAGAAGCAATTATAGAACTATGGGAGAATCGATTTCTGCCAAGTATAAGGAACGAGATTAAAGAGGAATTATCTGAATTAAGATCTGAAGTAAACGTTTTAACTGCCAAGTGTAAGGACATTGAAACCTCACAGCAGTTCTTGTCCAATGAATTCGATAACTTTAAAAAAATAATGCATGATAACAAGAAGAAAACTGCAGATCTCTCGAAGAAGGTAAATATCGTTGAAACCAGAATAGAGAAGGCAGAAGAATCTAAATCTAAGAATGCAGTTAACGTTGCACTTGACAATCTAGAACAATATGGTCGCTGAGAGTGCATTGAAATATCTGGAATTCCGATGCTACCTATCGATAATCCAAAGCAATTAACGGTTGAACTTGGACATTTAACGGGTGTTGAAATTACTCAAGAACATATTTCAACAGCCCATCGTCTACACTCGACAAGAAAAGTAAAGGAGAGATTCATCATTAAATTTGTGCATCGCGACACGAAAGACGAGATCTACAAGAAAAGAAGCAAGCTTGCTGGAAAGAAATCGAAGGACCTGCCATCCGTGGCTAATGAGTTTGGCAAGAGCATTCACAGAGCAGAAAGTATATTCATAAGCGAGTCTCTTACTCCTTATAGGAAAAAACTATTTGGCCGCCCAAACGAGTTCAAAAAGAATAACCAATGGGAATATCTCTGGACAGTCAATGGGAAAATATTACTGCGTCAATCTGAACATTCGCAAGTCTTTGGGTTTACAACAGAAGAGGAATTTGAAGAGTTTCTGCAAGGTAGTTAGTGATACAACAACAGTAGCTTACTTTAATTAATACAATATGAACTAATAATAATTATGGCAGACAAGACATTTAATAAGCTGTCCCACAACTTGATGCAACATCTACCGTTCTATGAACTTAGTAATAGTAAATTTAATTCCTTAAACGGTATTTGGATGAGGGATTTAGATTTGGTAACTGTCTTGTTCGATATATTACCCAACCCTAATAAACTTGAAGAAAACGATCCTGACCTTATGTTAAGTAATATAACTTCCATTTATTACTCTGTGACCAAGCTAAATCGTCTATTAGAAAATAAGAGGTCAAAGTCCTTATCACTCTTTCGTTGCAATGCAAGAAGCCTACCAAAAATCTTAACCTGGTTAATGATCTAATTTATACTTTATCAAATAGACCTAATATTTTGGCTGTTACGGAAACTAGATTAAATAATAATACTATAGTAAACACTCAAATACCAGGCTATAATTTTTATCACCAAGATTCTCCAATGGCTGCAGGCAGGGCTGGCATCTATATATCGCAAACTCTAAAATCAAGCATAAGGACCGATATCAAATTTTCTACTGAATTAGTTGAATCCTGTTGGATTGAAATCGATAGTGGGAACAATGCAAAAAATCAAATTATTGTTGGTTGTATATACAGATATCCAAAGTCAAAGCTAGATACATTCACAGAAGAATTGCAAGAGTTGCTTAGAAAATTAAACATTTGTTTTGGTGTAAATAGGTAATGGGACAAGTACTGGTGTGAGACATTGTGTAACCTAAATCATTATAGGACCAGTATTCAAATTTAGTGTTATTTACTTCAACTTCAATAGTATGAACTGCAGTACGTGATAAATTACAGCAATAACGATTATAGAACCTGAAGGAGGGGTGAATTGGTTATTTGGAAACGATAAGTAGAGAGATAAGGGAGAGAAAAGGAAAGGCAACCCTGTACGTGTTTCGACCTAACAGTCTTCTTCAGCAGGGTTTTTTAAAGGGGGTGTATAGGTAGAATTTGCAGAGGAGAATGAAGGAGAGTTTAGGAGTTCGGTGAATTTTGCAGAAGAGAATGAAGGAGAGTTTAGGAGTTCGGAAAAGCAATGGCACAGTAACAAAAATGAAAGGTTGAAGGATAGTGAGAAATGATAAAACTACTGCATATTATAAGTCACGTTATCCTACCAAATGTCTTGTTATGGCGAGACATACCAACACCATGCATCTTGCTGTTCATCAAAACAGGGTAAATATTATATATATCTCCTTGGTGATTTTAATATTAATTTTTTGAAATATGACCCTCATCAACCAACTGAAAAGTATTTAGACATGCTTTACCCTAATAATATAACCCCTGTTATTACCAAACCAACACGACTAACCGACCATACTAAGACTTTAATAGACTATATCTACACAAATGAACCAATCTCAAATATAACAACCGGTATTGGTCTGTTGGACATATCCAGTATTCTGTATCACAAAAAAATGCATGCAAAAAAACAATGCAAAAAGATTTTACAGAGATTACAAACATTTTAGTAAAGAAGCATATATAAATGACATGCAAAATATTAACTGGAATTCACTACTTAGCACAACTGGCAATCTTAACCAATCTACCGTAAATATAATAAATGTTATCCAAGATTTGGTAAATAAACATGTTCCTTCAAAACAAGCATCACTCAGCAAGAAAAAGCAACTAATTAAACCCTGGATTACTGATGGAATATTAAAATCCATAAAAACTAAACAAAAAATGTATAGGACCCACTTTCATAGCAACAATATAGAGAAAGTAAATCAATATAAAAGATATTCAAACAAACTAAATAAAGTAAAACTAGAGAGCAAAAATTACTACTATAACACACAATTTGCGAAGTGTAAAAATAATTTGAAAGCTACTTGGAAACTAATTGGATCAATTATTAAATGTAAAACAAAAGGACAAATACATCCCACAAAAATTACAATCAATAATAAGATATATACAGCTAAACAAGATATTGTCAATCAGCTCAATCAATATTTTGTTAATGTAGGCCCAAATCTTGCAAATTCAATCACGACTTCTAGCATTCAACCAATAAGTTACATTAGTAATGCAGCAGTACCTAGTTTTTTTATGTCCCCAATTACAGAGACTCAAGTACTCAATCTTTTCTTAGGCCTAGATAGTAATAAAGTATCTATTGATATACCTAATATGATAAAAATAGCAGCATATGAACTTTTGCCAATTTTTACTAATATTTTCAATTAATCATTTCCACAGGCTTTGTTCCTGACATCTTAAAAATTTCTAGAATTACACCTATCTATAAAAGTGGTGACACAAATGAGCCACACAATTAATGACCAATATCTATATTGTTTTTTCAAAAGTCTTAGAACGATTAGTATATAACCAATTGGATAGTTTTCTTGAAAAGTACAATATAATGTACAATTATCAATTTGGATTCAGGAAAAGGCATTCAACAGAGTAAGCAATTCTCAAACTTGCTGATAAACTAAAATCTGCGATAGATAATAAACAACTAACGTGCGGTCTATTTTTAGATTTTTCAAAAGCTTTTGATACCATTAATCACAAAATCATTTTAGAAAAGTTGCAAAAATATGGAATATGAAGTGTTCCACTCCAATGGTTTACAAGTTATCTAACTAATCGCCAACAATATGTTAGGATAGATAACAGACTCTGAAATGTTAAGAATGACTTGTGGAGTTCCACAAGGATCAACACTTGGACTGTTATTGTTTTTGCTGTTGTTAAGAATTGACTTCTAATTAGTTTAATTATTCTAAATAGTTTATGATAAGATATGCATGAATAAATAATTAACCCAAAAAAGATTAGTAGGTAGAATTTTGAATTGTGTAGTTATAGTTAGAGCGCTTATAGTTAGAGCACACCGAGATTGAACGGTGATATAAACAAGAGTTATTAACGAAGAGTTTATAAAAGGGGATCTGCGGGGACAGAGGTACGTTTATATAATAATATACTGTAGTAATTTATAATTGTAATGTATAGCGAAGTAGATAGATTGATGACTTGTAATTATTGTTATTTTAGTTTTTTACATACTGTCCTGGATAAATATACGTTTAACATACAAGAAGACTATAGACCACAAAGAGTCTATGCATTTGTGACTCAGACCACAAAAGGTCTATGCATTGCTGTTGGTTTGTTTCGCCGAGTTTATCGGGACGGTTCAGTAAACTCAGCCGCTTTCAAAGTCCAATCCTTTACAGTAAAAACTCTCCCGTGTTTAGAATGGCCGTTTGTTTCATGGTAAAGACATCAAATTCAACAGTATATGGTTTAGCTGAACATGGCCGAGGAATCTAAGAATGGCACAGTTGACGAAGACGGCGTTACTGAAGAAAACTCCAACACTGCTGTACCGCGATGAACAAAATAAACGTCCTGGATGATCCAGAAGAAAATCAAAAGATGCTAACTAAACTCCCGAACTATCTTGTGAACAGATGGGGGGCGTGTTGTAGACAATCGGATTGGAGAAGACGTTAACGAACGAAGTGATGACGAAGATGAAGTTGGAATGCCACAAACAACCGAGGGAAGTAACTATCCTTTATTCAAGGAATTCTCCTGGTTTCTGAAGAAAGAAGCCCGGATTGCATGTAACCCTATGATCTCTCAATGCTTTCTCAAAGGAGAATCAAAGAAGAAAGAAGTGAAAGAGTCGAATTAGAAACAATCCTGTTATAGAAATGTTGGTGTCAGCAGTTTCGTGTCGCAAACAGAAGATTTCTCTCCTACTCTTGAAGAAAGTCGAATGATGCCAAGGAATGACGTAAAGAAACAAATTTGCATATTCTGTAAAGAGATGCACGAAATAGATGTCTGTGAGAAATTTCTTAAACTTCCTATGGATGGTAAAAGAGAATTGATCATCGCGAAACGTTTGTGTTGGGATGCAAGGTTTGCAGTGAAGCACACCCAACTTCTCTTCACGGAGATAATCGGAAGTCAAGATCGAAATTGGCTACGAAATCGAAAGACGATTCTTCGAAATCGAAAGACGATTCTTCGAAACCGAGACAAGAACTGAATAAAGTCAAAGACAGGTCGAATGAAGATACAACCATTTCCAACTGCATTGAAGTTTGTAAAACGAACACATACAGTGGGCCAATCTCACATTCCCTCATTGTTCCTGTTTGGCTGCATCATCAAACCAACCCGAATCACAAAATCATGGTATACGCGCTTTTGGATGAACAGTCAGATGCGTGCTTCGTTAAGGACTCTGTCCTGGATGAAGTAGGAGTCAATGGTCCTGAAGTTCAACTTGAGATTTCAACAGTATTGGCACGAGAAAACGTAAACAGTCGAAAGATCGCTGGTTTAACAGTTTGTGGTGTTAACGAGACGAGTGAAATTACCCTCCCTGGAACATTCGCCCGAGAGGTAATCCCAGCAAGACATGGACAGATTCCTAGACCAGAATCGGCCCGGAAATGGTCACACTTGGAGAAGATCGCTGAGTTTTTTATGCCATTTTGAAACAATGTGGTGGTTGGACTCCTCATTGGCACAAATTGTGCACGAGCGATCAAACCACATAAAATCATACCTGGTAATGATGACCCTTACACGAAAAGGACTGCACTTGGCTGGGGAATTGTTGGCATTGTCGAAGCGAAGGTAAACGAAGAATCCGACGAGAATTACGTTGTTGTGAATCGAGTCATCACACACGAAGCCAATGTTGGTCCAGACAGAAGGATTTGTCATTTGGCTTTGAGAGCACAGGTCAAGGAGATTATGAACCCGAGTATGTTCAATCAAATGTTCGAGTTAGATTTCAGTGAACGAAGGAAAGAAGAACAACCTCTTTCCTACGAAGATAAGATGTTTATTAAGAAGGTCAAGAAAGGAATCCATCAACGTGAAGATGGCCATTATGAAATACCCCTACCTTTCAAAGATGACGAAATGAAGCTGCCCAATAACAAAAGTCAGGCATTGAGCCGTCTTTTGAAGCTGAAGCAACGATTCCTGAGAGACAAGAAATATCAAACCGACTACCTGACATTTATGAATGGAATCATTGCTAGTAACTATGCTGAACTTGTTCCTCAGGAAGAGATGAAATTGGACGATAGTCGAATTTGGTATCTACCGCACCATGGTGTCTATCATCATAGGAAACCTGACAAGATAAGAGTAGTCTTTGACTGTAGTGCTGTATACAAAGAACAATCCCTAAATCAAAATCTATTACAGGGACCTGACCTTACAAACAGTCTGCTGGGTGTTCTTTGTCGTTTCCGCCAAGATAACACTGCTTTCATGTACGATCTCGAGGCTATGTTCCACCAAGTGATGGTGAATGTCAACGATCGAAATTTCCTTCGTTTCCTATGGTGCAAGCATTTGGACAACGAACCAATTGTGTACCGAATGACAGCGCACTTATTTGGAGCAACTTCATCACCTGGTTGCGCCAACGTTGGTCTAAAGACGACAGCCGATGACTATGAAAGAGAATGTGGTAGCCAAGCAGCCAATTTTGTGAGAGATAATTTTTATGTTGACGACGGATTAAAGTTTGTTTCCACGCCCACCGATGCTATCGATCTAATCCAGAAGACCAAAACGCTATGCAAGAAAGGAGGCTTTCGTCTTCACAAGATAATCTCGAACAGTAAGGAAGTCTATACCATGCCTGAAATAGGCATTCATTTTGAAGAAACAAAACAAAACACGCGTGCTACCGTGACAAATGTGAAATCGTTCCTTTTAAAATTTTCTTGAAATAAATAGAACAGTTAGAAAACCTTCGTAGTTCGTATATTATGTTCGGAGTGTATTAAACAGTATATTATATCAGAATATTCTGATACTATGCTCTATACTATGCACTTTGTTGTTCTAACGTGCTATCGTGTTATTGCCGTGAAATATACAATATATTCTTATGCTCTAGCGTTGTTCTAACGTGCTATTGTGTTATTGCCGTGAAATATACAATACTCTTATATTCTTATGCTATATAGCGTTGTTCTAACGTGCTATCGTGTTATTGCCGTGAAATATACAATACTCTTATATTCTTATGCTATATAGCGTTGTTCTAACGTGCTATCGTGTTATTGCCGTGAAATATGATACAATATATTCTTGTGCTATAGCGCTGTTCTAACGTGCTATCGTGTTATTGCCGTGAAATATACAATACTCTTATATTCTTATGTTATAGCGCTGTTCTAACGTGCTATCGTGTTATTGCCGTGAAATATACAATATATTCTTATGTTATAGCATTGTTCTAACGTGCTATCGTGTTATTGCCGTGAAATATACAATATATTCTTATGTTATAGCATTGTTCTAACGTGCTATCGTGTTATTGCCGTGAAATATACAATATATTCTTATGCTATAGCGTTGTTCTAACGTGCTATCGTGTTATTGCCGTGAAGTATACAATACTCTTATATTCTAGCGCTGTTCTAACGTGCTATCGTGTTATTGCCATGAGATATTCAATTCTGATATTATAATCTATATTTCTTGTGATATAGTTTGGGATAAAATAAGAAGTATGTCTGAATTTTCTCTTTTTTTCGTGGCAGTTTGACTGTGACTACTTTGTTCATAATGGTGGTGTTAATTTAATTAAGTATATGAATACCGTTAGTGTGCATTGTCTTTTACAAAGGACTTTTTGATAAGACACTACACCATTCATACACCGTTCACATAAATACGCTCGTCATACATTCCCTTATTCGTCCTTCCTTGGTTCTGGTCAAGTAAAGTGCTCCAAAGTTGAATAAAACACAGTTGATTTGGTAAGTTGAAAATATGTCACGTCTTTTTATTATTTAACTTTTTACTTTTTGACGAAGCACTTGCCGATGTCGATGAATACATTATAAAGATGTAATATTTTCCCAATAGAAATCCCTTGATGGTATGGCTACTTCACCGATCAAGAGTTTGTCTGTGCGCGAAGACAAGGACGGGGCGAGAGCTATTCACGCGAAAGTCAGCAAGGACAAGTATCGATGCGTGTCAAATTTTTACTTCACGATAAAAGCATGTGTGAAATTCCCTTCCATTCTAAATCTTGCGCGTTACAACGGTTGGATTTTGGATGTCCATCGCACCGACAATGTGTCAATGTAAGTTATCTAATATACATGTAATTAAGTAATTTGTTTTTTAGTGCTTCATGTTAATAGGTACTGTAGATGTGTCATGTCTCTCAAGTTCAAGTCATAAATAAAGAAAGTCACTCTTTCAGTCACACATGATTTCCTATCTAAAACGTAGATAAAACGTACGATGGTTGTACTGATATGATCAAACAACGAATTTTCATTCATTGGCGATTTGCGGTATACAAACAGTTTAATTGTTTGAGTGACTTGTCGGTCTTTACTTGAGTGGACATGCCATGTTTTGCCACATAATTATGAAAATTTGCTGGCCGTTGTTCGCTAGTTACTTTTCAAATAAACTTTAGTGTTATTGACCGCATCAAGGAAGCTAACAAGAAATCGTCAATAGTTCATCTTGTGTTTTCAACTAGGCGAAATTAGTCACGCAAATTGAATGACTTTTTACTTTGCTGACAGCATGCGTTGTTGACTGTTTTCTTTGTCTGCATCGCTCACGTCACCGCTTCCTATACGACAACAAAGTCGCCTCGGTCGAAATATTTAAGCTGTGCATTGCGCCATTTAGAATATTTCGCGATGCTTCGAGCGCGCAAAAACTATTAAGAGTAAATCATGTTAACGTGAAACAACTTTTACTATTCTATCAAATGCACAACTGATGCAGGAATTTAAAATCGCTTGTGCCTTCAAACAATATAAATGCGGTTTCAAATTTTCCAAACTTTTTCAGTTCAGTAGAACTGTGTCAGGTTAATTTTTCGAATCTATTCTCAAAGTGACAATCAGACAGCAATACGAAAGTTTTCGACAATAAGAGCTAAACTTTCGTCGCGAAAAGTAATTATATCTTCTATCTTACTTAGATAGAATCCTTTTCCGAGTCGAAAATGGGCAGTAAAGGCACATAGTCACAGTTTTAATTTAGCGATGTTTTTTAGTATGATATGATGAACCACTCACAAATCAATAAACTTGAAAATTTTTAAATATGTTTCAATCGAAACTAGGATTATTCATAATATATTTGTATAAGTTTTCTGGTTTTAAATATTTATTTATTGCGAGCTTTCGACTGCCAGTCTGCAGTCTTCAACGGGTGGATTACAACGAGACTGTGACAATTACAACGGTTTACAATTATATTTATATCACACTTGTGTCGGTTTTCTTTGATCGTCCGAGGTTTATAACTAGCTTATAGACCTTGAATAAATGATTGGATTAAACTTGTAGACAAAACGCGAGAATTTTTCATTAAAAATTTTTGAAAATGACAAAATATGTTAGAAAACCTCCACAAGTGTGATATAAGTTAGTTATAAACCTCGAAAGTCGGTTTATAACTGATATATTGCCCTCGGACGCTATGCGTCCTCGGGGGCAATATATCAGTTATAAACCTCCTACTCGGTTTATAACTCTAACATATTATGTAGATACAAAATGTTAAAAATGACAGTTCCGCTTATATACAGGATTAATGACTTGAATTACATGTAGATTAATTGTTCCGGTAAAAGTTTTGAATTGTTGCCAGAGTTTTTTTGTGCATGCATGCAGTCATTTTTAACATTTTGTATTTATATATGTAAGGCCAATGAAAATTGATATCATGTTTATCGTCCCCGCCCGCATGGGATTTATCTGCCGCACGAAAATTTTCATTATTCATTATTTTTGAAAAATAGGCTTAATTAGCAAGGCACCAAATTGATCTCCATGCAGATCAAAGTATTATTGCTGCATTCCGCAAGCGCAACTCAAATTCTATCTTTCTAAAGATATTAATCGCCAGAATGCCTCTATTTTTCATGTCAGCCCTGGTATGTATAGAAATATACTGTATAGTGTAGGACGTATTAAATTAAAATGAATTATACACCGATTTACTTCAGACTTTTATGAGGTTTTTTACTGCTTCAAGGAAATTATTGACATGCAATTCAAATACAAAAAATAATGAAAAATGAAAAAATCCCGCTCCAAATTTTTGAAAATTGTGGACGAGAAACATGATATCAATTTTCATTGGCCTAATTGTAAACCGTTGTAATTGTCACACTTTCATAATTGTAATGATTTAAATTACATCATGTAATCCACCCGTTGAAGAGTGCAGGCGCCAGTCGAAAAGCTCGTTAAAACCAGAGAACGTTATTAATCAATCTTGAAAAAGTTCATAATCGCTGGAAAACGGTGATCATATGTCTTTGAAACAATGGGACGCCGGACGCGTGACTATAAAGGCGCTACTTGTGTGGGGGGCTTACACTTTCGTAATATGGGTGAAGTTTCCTGATATGAGCGTCACGGAATGTCGTCACAAGGGGTGGGGCATGGTATGGGTTGTGGGTAGGGGTAAGAGGTGCGGGTGGTAGTTATTTGGGGATTCTTATACGAAGCTTCAGCCAATAATATGCAGTCCCGTATTTGAACTGCATGTGTGAAATTTACTATACTTTTTGAACCATTGTGTCCATGACAAACAAATTATTAATCTCATTATAATCTCAATTTACGCGATCCTGATTGGTTAAAAAGGTCGACAAATATCCAGGCTATGGCTATATAATCAGGGGGAAAGGTATTTTTCGAGTTTAGCCCTTTTCGAGTTAAGCCCCTACCACGCCCTTTTTCGCATGGGACTTCGGGGCCGATTACATGGACTGGGCTAGCCCGATCAATCGGGCTGAGAAATGTCACGAAAATCTTCCTTGGGCCGCAAAATGAGTTTTGAATCAGGTTTAGGATAATTTTGCATCTATAATAAACTAATTATTTTATCGCAAATTTATTTTACGCGAGTTTTAAAACCACAGTAAGGTCCTAAACAAACGAGCCAGCCCAGTTAACCGGGTCAGCCCAGCACGATGTAATCAGCACCTTACAGTTGATTTCACGAAACTTTGGCCACGCCAATTGCGAGGTTGGTTGGGAATCGAGATCATCAAGTTGATTGGAAACCGGCCAATCAATTCATTTAATAATAAATAATATCATAATAATAATAATTTCAGGTTTAAAATTATAATAAGTTTAATACAATAAGTTTACTTTATAAAATTTACCGTCAAAATCGTTTGCAATTTGCGAACTCGGTTCGGAATTTTATAACGAATTTCGATAATTTGGTGCGAAACTTCCGAATTTGATTGGCTGGTTTCCAATCAACTTGATGATCTCGTGTTTATAGTTCCCAAATTCCCAACCCATCCGGTAATTGGCGCGGCCAAAGTTTCGTGAAATCAACTGTAACTCGAACTCAGTTAACGATTTGACGCGTGTATACTCGCAAAAAACATTCGCATTATTATAAGATTATATTCAGAGAGGAATTTTATAAATAAAACAACACAACATATACAGGACAGGGTGTATAAAAAACTGAACAAATTTGAAATTGCTCTCAATTTCGCAAAACACCTATTAGTATCCAGGTTTTGATATATAGCTTCTTTGGGTACTTCTTTGGGTATATATAGCTTCTTTGGTACCCTGGATTCCAGAGCCTTCGACAGTAAATAATAAATTGAAACGTCGCGAAGGCTCTGGTTAACGGGAAGATTCTTTGATTAAACCGCGCCAATCACAAAACAGAATTAGTGGTTTTAGTATAGATGCTGCCCCCCCCCCCCAATAATTCCATTTGTTTTAGAAAAACACACGAAAGAACTAAAAAAGTGCAAAAGCAATTAATATAAATTCAGATTTATTCTTGAGCCACCCAATATTGATTTGCTTCCGACAGCGTTTTTTAGGGAGGCGCAGACGAGCGTTGAATAATCTGATAAAACACTGCTACTCGTGTTTATAGCTTAAAATACGACTACAAAATAACTAATTAGGATGAACAATTATATAAGAATAATATATTAGGATGAACAATTATATAAGAATAATAATTAGGATGAACAATTATATAATGCCATATGCATGCATGAGTTTTGTAAAGTCACTCCACGTGACATATTATGGCTGATATGATTTGCCACAAGATTTATGAATTATTAATGATATTTTAGGGTAATAAAAAACCCAACAAATTTTCCATCCATTAACTCAAAATACGATTAAAGCTTTAAAATTTCTTCCTCAAACCATTCTTAATTTAAAATCGTTAATTGAGTTCGAGTTACGCCCCGGGGCCTAGCTAGAAGTATTAAAACAACGTTATGTTGATCGAGTTAAGTCCTCGGCGAAAAAGGGCGTTGCAGCGGCTTAACTCGAAAAATACCTACCCTATAATCGGCAAGTTCAATGATTTTTATCCCACGAGTTTTAACAAGTTTTAGAGCATTTCAGACCACTCAGTTCTTTATTCAGACTCTGACTATTGTTGGTATACTGACAATTAACCAAAACACTAGAACTTTAAGGGAAACAGGAAGTTTTAGCAAGTTTCCCGAGGTTCTTACCAAAACGCACTGTTTCCATAGGTTCTAGTATATCGGCAAGATATTACGGATGTATGTTTTATACTGAGCACTGATTGTTGTTATTTTATTTTTCTTGTATCTCGGTCAAACTCGTGTTTGCGGCTAAACTTACTGCAGTATATCGTCTGCGTCTCAGAATATTTGTTCACATTAATGCATGTTCCAAAGCACTAAATTCGATTTGCTTGACCAATTAATTCAACATGAGAACGTATGCTGGCCAATCAAAACCGTCTATTTGTCCAATGTTCGAAAAGTACAGTAGTAAATTCCACACCTGCAGTTCAAATATGGACTTTAATATTGTCTAAATAGTGAAAACACTAAAATATTCTAGTACTAAATGGACCAATCCCCAATTAACCAAAATTTTGAACTCAGCAAGTCTAGACAAAAATTTCATCGCAGCTTGAAAGAGCATCACAAAATTAGTAATATTCCAAATTTTCGTTGCAAGATGCTGTAAAATGCGGATAATATAGCCTTGCGAAGTTTGCAATTTTCAATCATTTTAGATTACAAAGAGGAAATGGTTACCACTTCTGTGTGTAATACAAAATGACTGAAAATTACAAACTTCGCAAGGCGATACTATCTGCATCGCAAGGCGATACTATCCGCATTTTACAACATTTTGGAACGAAACTTTGGAATTTTACTAATTTTGTGATGCTGTTTCAAGCTGTGATGAAATTTTTGTTTAGGCTAGTTAAGATCAAAATTTTGAAAAAGTGGTAAACATTTCCCATTTGTAATCTAAAATGACTGAAAATTGCAAATTTCGCAAGGCTATATTATCGCGTCGTAATCTCCAAACTTTTGAATTTCGGATTCTTATTATTTCTTAAAGTATATTTAACTCATATGTTTATGTATTTATATATAGGGAATGTTTTGTCGCTTGCGAAGAAATGCACGTAGTCAAGCAATTTAAAGCCGCAATAAATCGACGGTTTAACGAAAATTGTCGCGTGTTCTGGCACAATCTTTCCGACTCGCAATTGATCGATTACACCTGGTCAAAAGTCCGTGAATTTTTTGCCAATAGTGGGAAGACGTTAGTTGGAACGTTATCTACAGGACGTCAACCGAATTTGAAGAAGCTGGACGAAAGAGGAAATCTTGCCGATGTTGAACAGTCGGAGTTGCGAACATTGCAATCTTTGAAAGATTTGGTTGACGACTTTGATGAAGCCGTGTATATCATCAATGAGAAGTTGCAGGTAAAAGAAAATAGGACATATATATTTATATGTTGTGCATGCTAGTGTTAACTCGGTAATATGATAAGGAGAAAATGTTCTCGAGTGAGTATTTCATAATTTCCAGACCGCACTCAAGCAGAAAACTCTACCCGCCGCGGCAGGGTTTCTAGCCTGTGTGCAAAGTCAATAGTCATCCAGTTGACGACGATCCGAATACTAAGTTGAGATTTTTTTAAAACGGAGGTGCATGGGAATATTACAATGTGAAATACTAAAAATTTTAACCAATTCAATGAATACGTTTATCATCAAGGAATATAATATAATAAAAGTGATGTGTGTAAATCCACGTGGTCAATCTTACAGATTAACAGATACGGCGAAATCCAAGAAGAAAATTGGCATTTCAAGTGGATGGTCCCATACTTGCGCCTTATTCCATCGGCCATGTCTGACAAGGAAGTACGAGGATATTTGGAAGGCAATTTGGAAAGCTACGTCATTAGTATTGAACGACCATTCCTTCAATTTGATTGGCATGAGTTTATCTCCAAGTCAAAGGACTTTTTCAAGGGGAACTTTCTGCCGTTCATGTTACTCCTAAGTGGCTGTGTTGCGGCTTTTCACTACAAAAAAGTCTTATCTTGTGTGGGTAAGTAATTAATGTAGTCGCGGTTATTAATGTTTTCTTCACTTTAGAGATCTTTGCACTATATGAAAGTGTTTTAGATAGAAAACATAAAGACGTACATATATTCAGATGTTTCATATTAATTTTTAGGTTCATGTCCAGTTGCAATCGCAGTTGGCGATATATCAACTGGGAAGTCAACTGCATTGAGCCTGGTAGCTCGGCTAATGGGCCTGCACAAGGTGTCGCAGTCTTCAGGCGAATATGTGGTGTCATATTTAAAGAGGACCAGCTTCCCATTATGCTGGGATGATCCTACATACCAGTCCAGCACACGTCGGCCGCTGGTGTCAGTGTTCAATGGACTTGGCAACCAAACGCAGGAAAGGGGAAGCGAAACTCCAATAACGTCGTTTCTCCTGACAGTCAACTTCAAAATGGAAGATGATATGAGGTATGTCATGATGTAAAGAATTAATTGACGTTAGCCTAGCTGCATCGCAGAGTCAAGCTGAGTTCCAGCCGCGCGTTTTTATACGCACGGAAAAGTTTACATAATTTTAAATTTAACACCAATATGAATTACCTGTACATATGCACATTAAATCATTCATAAAACTATATGCTTTCCTTCTATTCATTCAGTTATTTCATAAGTAATTACATTTCAACTTCTCCGTATACACGCACGTATAGTACGAAAAACGCGTGACTGGAAAGCAGCCTTTAGTGTTAAGTCTGTATAGATTTATGTTGCAGACTAAATTGACCTACGTATAAAACAATTTCACGGTAAACTCAGTGGAAAGTGAGAGCTTATCATATACATCTGATTGATTAAATCCTAAATTATTTGTACTTAAGGTCATTCGAAAGAACGCTACCAATATGGTTTAAAAAGCTCGCAGGCAAGGATTATGAGAACGTGGACGAGTTTATGGACGATAAACAGACCATTTCTAACTTGGCCACCACGCATGCCATCATGGACGTCATCAGCATGGGTACGCGAATAAGCCGCGAAAATGTTGCGTTGCACACCAATTTCTTCATGCGACATTTAAGTGGCTTATCCCCCAGACTGGCGGAAATTTATTCTGTTTACAGGCTGATTTCCCATCTGGTAAGTTGCAAATGTTACTTTATTATAACATAATACCTGACGAAAATAACAAGAAAACTTCAAAATTTCCATAAACCTTCTTATGTATGTTAAATCTATTTTTATAGAAAAAATTGGAAAACCGTCCGGACACTTACACAAGCACCGATGTTTTGAATTGGACTTTTAAATTTTTAATTCGATTTTTGTTTAATATTCCACAGGTTATAGAGTTGATCAACGACGATGAACTGCTCAACAAGGAGACTCTTGACGAATACTTGACTGACGAGTTTGTGCCTTACGTCACTTCGTTTTATGATGTAACCGTCCAGGCACATACATCCCTGGACGAGATCTTTCAGTTATTCGTGCAAGCCATCACCAAGAAACAACTTGATAAACGTGAGGTATATAAACCTGGCATAAGTTATCGTTATTTTGGTGTAAACTTCGTGATGAATGCCAACTATTATACATATTAGGAGAAGAGAGAATTATTATATGCATAGTGTTGGAAGAAGCAATAGCAGTATGTATGCTTTCTTTCAATAGGTTGGAAAATGGATACGGCCAAAAGTGAAGGGGAAGAAGGAAAATCGGTCAACCGAATACATCGCATTCTTTATTCCCGGTGTGTTGCAATGCATTCAAAGTGCCAACCTTACTACCCCAAGCGATACCAGTGTTTGCGAGTTGGTTCAAAAAGTTCAAGGAGCAACTACGGACTTTAAGTCAACGTTCGTGCGATGTCCCAAGAGAATTGTGTGCAGCCGTGTGCCAAGACACGCCCTCAGCAAGGAAACATTGTCACAAATTGATAAAAGTACGTATTTACATGTTGTGTTGAAATAGATTTTATCGTCTTTGGAGATTCCTTATACCCAATTCAATATTACCAGTTACCATTAACTATTGCAAGTAACTGATTTCATTGGTCAATAGAATGTAGTAGTTCGTCGCAGTGAGTATACTTACAGTATAGTCTAGAAACTACATATCCAAATGTATGTTTGCAATCGACTTGGGTTTACACGTAGGCAAACCGATCATATAAATTAAACCAATTGAAGTCTAAACTGAACCCAAACTAACTACTAGCAACTTAACTAATTTTCTTAAAATATCCTATTTGAACTATATGCGACCATCGAAAAAAACCCACATTGTTCTACATAATAAAGCCTCAAAAAATCCATTCATGGTATTTTTATTTTTTCACTGAAATAGTTTTTGACATGGAGAAAGAGGAGTATGGAAACGACACCAACAACGAGACAGTCGACGAAGAAGACAACGACCATGATGTGACAGAGAGGTGCAACAGTTGTGTTGAAAAGGACACAGAGTTGCAAGAGACCAGAGAGAGGCATCGTCAAGAAATCGAGGACACCAAGCGATGGTATGAAACGGAGATGGAATCCCTGCGACAAGATCTCAACAAAAAACTGGAAGAAAAAGACGGAGAAATTTCTGCGTACAAAAGAGAAATTTCAACACTGCAAGAGAAGATGATGTATACGCATCCTACAATACCCAGCAGCACATCAAGTGTTGTTGCCAGAGGAATTACCTCCCTAGTTTGTAAGTATATACTGTTTGTTAGGTTTTTAACAATTGTCTCTCATCAACTCAATTATCTCTTTAAATTAAAAACCCAGGTGGAAACGAAAGGTCTCAAAACGTGCTAACGCCTTCCTTAGACGATTCCGGTAAGTTTAAGAAATAAATGTTCATGTATTTTGGATGAAAGCATGTATTCATATGTATTTATACTATTCCACAATCCTGGCGTAAATATGTAAGGAACAAAAAAGAAAAAAGTAAAGAACGAGGACACTAGAACAATATTTTGCAATTTGTAGAAATTCAATATAGTGTTACAAATCTGCGCACAAGTTTGGTTAAGTTAAACGTTTTCAGCTCGCTGCTTTAAGGTCACATTTCATCCTCTTCTCAAACGTGCTGTATGCATGCATGTACATTATATTTACGCATGCCTTATCCAATATTCATGATTATATTTTAGAGCATTTTATCTAGAATTCTCTAGAGTTATCTACGTGGAGCATTTTATCTAGAGTTCCCCGACATATTATAAAACTATAAAAGTTCACCAGACATATGTAGAAACTAAATAAACATTGTAATTCTGAAATACTCGCTTAGCTTAGCATATATTTATCACCAAGGTTTTTATTAACATATATCACAAAAATGTTTTGTGCATTTTACCTTAAGGCTTGGTAGAGGACATCCATGATCAAGAAGACAACGAACTTCAGAAAAGTAATGCTGGTGAGTCCAATATTTTACCGTAATATTGTCAAAAATCAATGTCATCGAAAATATCTAGCATTGTTGCTCACTACCATTTGTGCATTCCACAAATTGAAAACGAAAAATTTAATTTTGCATGTTGTTACCGGAACAGTCGTCCCAATAGAAAAATGTTGGTCAGTTCATTTCCTAACTTGAAGGAACACCTCTGAACACTCTTATAAATATTTTAACAGGTTTCCTTTTCCTTAACAATTCAAAAGTTCGTTTCCAATTGACCAATCAGAATTTATATTTTATTTGTTAGCAATTCTGATCAGTCAATTGGAAAGGAACGTTTGATTTTTTAGGGAAACCTTAGCCTGGACTAAGCCGCATACTTTTTTCAGGTTCAGTGATGCTTGCATAAATTAAATTCCCTCGGGAAAACCTGTGAAAATGAACATTTTTGAAAATCAACATTTTTCGGAACGCTTCTATTGGCAAGACTGACGACTGTAATATACATCATTAAGGTTAGCGTCTTGTTATTTTTTAGAACCTGTACAGCCCAGGCAAAAAAGGGCGAGATGCTCAAGCAGCGGAAACAAGAATGTATGTAATATGTGCAATAAAGGCAAACACAGTGGCATGATTAAATGTATATCATGCGAACAATTGCAGCATTTTTCGTGCTTAAGAAAGAAAGTCAAAGAGGCTAACGAGATAGCAGCAACTTTCAAATGCAAAGACTGCAAGTAACACTATCTTTTGTTAAAAAATACTGATCCTTGAGCAATGTATAAGGACTACAAACAGTTTGTTTTATTACATAATTACACAAGAATAAATAAATAATACTATATCTACAGCACACTATGTCGACCTCGATATCGACACTTAGAAAGTATAACAATAAGGACATTTTTCATAAAGATGGTTTCAAAATACGCCTTGAAAATTGAAACACTTTTCCAAAGCAAGACAAGGCCGCAAAACACAATTTTAAAAATGCACACGGATGATTATATATATAAGTTAGATCAAGAAAATGGCGCTTGTGAATTTGAACACAAGCCTTGCAGATTTTTGTTCCATGCTTAGTTGATGAGATGTTTCATTTTGTTCAAAAACCAAGTGAATCTATCTACTCCATTACATCCTTTGCTATTTTTTATCGTTTTTTTATATACGCAACATCTCATCACATGACATCTCATTATATACATGTAATGGAGTGGATAACGTTACATCGTTTTTGAACAAAATGAAATATCTCGTCAACTAAGCATGGAAACAAATATCTTTCAAAGAATTTACTTTAAAATTAAGAGCTCTTTCGCTTGAAACAAAAAATTTTTGTACCAGTGTCACTTTGACCCTTTGTCGGAATAATCCAGACGTGTTTGACTGCCATCTTAATGAAAGATTTATTAAATATTTTAATCAACTATTATAATTAGTACGTTGCACAATCAGTACTGTACTGTGTACTGTAATTACAATACCATTTCCAAACTAGATTAATATTGAGATTCATTAATAAAGTGTCTATGCAGCGAAATTTCACCCCTGATTTTTATGGTTTGCTAACTTGCTTGAGTTGCTTCCTTCTCAACTACTCAAGTCATTCAACTTATTATGTCATGTGATGTCACACTGGTCTTATTTGTATATCAAAGTATAAAAAAAGTTAATATCTTGAGAAGGAAACAAGTTAACAGAATTCTAGTAAAGACGTTATTCAGTCATTTTAAGTGTTCTTTACAATGCAACCATAAAAATCAGGGGTGAAATTTCGTTGCATAGGCATTTTAAATTTCATATTCCAAATCAGCCATTTTTACGTTCTCAACAACTCTAAATCTTAATCTTTTTTGGTAGAATAGGAACTTTACTTCTAACGTGGCATTTTTCTGTATATGTATTCCTGTATTTTACCATTCTATGCAGGAAGAAAAACTGGTGTATATGCGGCATAGCACACATAACTTTTTTGAATCTGCTAGCCCATACGAATGTCTGTTCACATGCCATTGTGTTAAACTCTTTGGGAATTTTGTCATCTGGGTTGTATATATTGTGACATTTCTCATCTACATGATTTCGAAGATGCAACCGATCAATTACTTTACCAATCCGTTGCCACATTTCGTTGAATGGGTAAGGGAATGGTAGATGACTTCGGGAGATAATCAAGTTATCCATGTGGCACATGTTGTCATAGGCCAGCACTGTCGACGTCATTTCGTTGATGATGGTTTCTTGACTATGTCCCAATTCTTCGAGTGTTTTGAACTTCCGGTAGAGCCACAGGACAGTTATTAAGAAAGCTTGAGTTGGGGACTCTGACCTGGGAAGAGTACAATTTCCGTTAATGTACTGTAATTATCATTTTAACTGATATATAACGCTACTGTTAATAGATATAAGTATAAGTATTGCATTGCGATAAGAGTAAAATACAAGAAAGGAAACTTGAACTGTGCGGTTAACCTGAAAAATTCCGTCGGATGGTTCTTTTTTGGCACCAAAAGTCAGCACCAAGCACGTGAAAAAGAATCGGTACTTCCACATTTCTTAACCAGTTTTAAACTTAACCGGTTTTCCACATTTCCCCAACTTTAAGGATTTTTGAAAGGAATTTTGCATCTTGGTCTTCGAAACATTGAAATATATCTTTTTAATATCAGTTCACCAATTGTGATAAAAATCGTAATCCCCAAATGAGACAATAGTTCTGTGAATCTAATATATTTGACTTTAATATTGAAACCTTTAAGATTTCAACTTTCAAGTGTTTTTGTTTTCATTTTTGAAAGTACCGAAACGGAATAGAGGTTGTTTCACCCCCAAAAAACCGAAACCTGAGAGCCGAGATGAACTTTCTGGATCTGCACAGCTCTAAAGGGAACATTTGGGCCCAATGGCAATGAGTTAAGGTAGAAGTTATGATTTCTATAGCGGAAATTGACATGTGGATGTCATCGAGTATTACGCCTTATATGTGATCACAGACTATTCTATGACATTACCTAACAATGTTTATCCTTTCCCAACCCAGTGTCTGTAACATACCAACTAACCAACTTCACCGTATTATTAATTAACATTGGGGTAATTATTAGGGTTAGTATTAGGAACAAACTTTGGAAGCCTTAGTGCCTTACCCAAACCCTTAACATGCATGCATGAACCAAACCCTCACATCCTTACGGCGAAGTTGGTATATTTGTAATATTACAGACACAACTAACACAACCTGCCAGCTTTCTTTGTGTTGGAAAACCGCAGACAAACTTACTTATAAAGTGGCTGCCAGTATTCTATATGACCTCCAGCACTAACTATGAAAAACATTCCCCTTGACCAAAAATGTAAGGCCTTAAATCCACCTGTGTCTTTATTACATTTAAGATCCATTTCTACAACACTATCTTCCATAAATGTAGGATTTTTTTGCAGAAAATTGGTAGTACATGCAAATATAAATAACCAATCATTATAACCTTGCAGTTTCACTGACTGTGGCTTACTGTAGGTGTGGCCAGTAATCAAACTCTACAAACAATTAATTAAGTGTAACAAAGATAACAATTGGTGCTCTAAAATTGGGTAAACGTTACTTACCTTGATAGGTCGAAGCATTTGGCATGTTTCTGGAATGGGTAGATAAATCTAATTCTTCCATAACTTCAAGTGATGAATCTGTACAATATATATAGTATATATATATATATATATTATGTTACTCTGAATAGTGCAGTATTTTATTGCAAAAACCATTTATAGGTTAAAAAACTATTTTATTTTAATTGGCTAAAACCCCCAAAATATTTGATGGTAATAACCACTACTTTAGTAACCTGCATCTAAGTGCACTGCAGATAAAGGTGCATATGCCCTTGTATCCGAATATTATAGAAGATCAACAATTAATATTACAGTATCAACATTTTCTATTATAAATTGTGGTTATAAGAGTGCGCCTAGAAGAGACATGATATCGTAACATAAAATTGTACACTTCAAATTCTATCCCTGTGTATTTTAACACAAGCTACAGACTACAAGTTTGTGTCATTGTCGAATGTATTATTAAAATATCAGGAACTTGTAAACTGCATGCAGGCTAATCCCAATACAATGTGACATTGATACTATTGTTCCCAGATGCCTAATTTTAAATATGATACAAAAGAATGTTACTGAATAGATTTTAGTACCACTCTGTCTGCATTTCTCGAATAGTAAAATAAAGATTTTTCTTACCAGACAACAATGGCAATGGCTGTTTTGACATTTCATCCAATGCTAAAAAGGATAAAAGCAAACAAAATTTACGTAAGAAAATAGAACACAATTACTAGGATTGCTAATACTCAATAGCAAATTAGTAATGCTTATTCAACCCATTTGTGTGCATTACTTTCCCCTTGACAAGTTATCTTTGACTGTGTACAATACAACATTGTTAAAAGTAAGCCACTCCACACCTACTGTAGTTTATTTGGTGTACTTTAGGTACATTATTTTCCAGCTTTAAATGTGTTAAATTTGCAAACCATTTTTACCCAATACTCAATAGCTGGGAATTAAATGTGTTAGAATATTATGTTTTTCATATCTGAAATGAATAAGAAATGAATAAGAAATGTACTTCAGTAAAACTATCCTAAGGCGGGGGTCTTAAATTAATGTTGGAAATGCACTTAATTTTTATGGTTTGCAGTGATAATTATATACCTTCTCCAATATCTACACCAGCAACTCCACAACTGTCGTACAACTTCTTTAACTCTGTTCCATACCCCATGGATTTTGCCTTGTCACAATGGACGTCACAAAAAGCATGGCCTCGTTTAGGTGAAAGTGGACAAATGTTAGGATAGTTGACATTCCCAAAATCTGGTACAGAAACTGGAACTTTCCACATGCAATGTGCATATCTTAGTTTCCAGTTTCCATCTGCAACGTAGAGTTTCCCACACCCTACACAAAATCAAAATACATATGGGAGAATAATCAGTTAAGTTTGTTTATATTTTAAACACACTATATAGACACATGTTCATAATGATGGTGGTAAAGAAACAGACTTATTTAATATGACCACCTCAATTGGAATGAATTTCCAGTTTTTTCTCACACTCACTGCTATGGGCAAATAAATATAATTCTTTATAAATATTCGATAAACAACAGTAAACCTTTAATTTTGACCAACAAAGCAATATCCTGAGTGGAAATAATCTTTAAAATGAGGCTCAGGCAAGGTTAACATTTATCTGTTCCATTTAAGGTGGTCCCTGAGTGTGCCAGTTTTAATTGGCATATCCAGTTTTAATTGGCACAATCTAAATTATGCAAACTACATACGATATGCTATTAAATTCATTGTACTTTAAGCTAACATCTGGCAGTGTTCTGGTTGACTTAGAATAATCAATACACATGTAGATTAGACATTAAATTTATAAGATGTCCAAATAACAAACATTCAAGATGTCCAAATAACAAACATTCATGGTTGTCATGAGAGGACCCAACCTGACAACTCATTTTATAATTAGTAAGTCTATGCATCAGACATTCTTACCCTTTTCCTTGCAGTTAGGAGAACATACATGATGATACAGTTCCTCACAACGTTTTCTGTCCACAAATTCCATTACATCATCATGGGTTCCAGTGTTTTCACCATTCTGGTTACTTGTAAAAACCCACTCCTCCCTTAAACCACGTTCTCTCAGCTCCTCTTCCACCTCATGATGCCAAAAGCACTTGGCAACAACTTTCGCTGACATTTCACCAGGCAAAACGCCTAGAGTATAAATAAATATTATAACCCTCCAATTGATGTTTGAATATTTAAGCAATTACATAATTTCTTCAAAAAACTAGATACAAATGACATTGGATAGATGTCCTAACTTTATCTATACTTTTAAGAGTTGAAAAGAGTTTAAATTTGTTAAAAAAAGTGTTTTTTAATTGAAATTGTCTGGAAAGTAGGCAGGATCCACAATGGCTTGATAAATGTCATCATAAAAAAACAAACTGGTTTTGCTCGAATCATTTTGAGTTATGCAATCTTATGCGTGTTGGACGTAAACAACATATCTTGTCTACAACTTTGAGAAGGTACAGATAATTCCTTCTAATATCCTTAGTTCTGGATCTATCTCTATAAAATCGCAAGGACGTTAATGTCAAGTTTTTGGGCTATGTCTCTGGGCTGAGAAATAATTCCTTACATGCGATCAAAATGGTTTATACAAAGATATAAAACGGTAATCTATATGTGATGGATCAGCATTGAAATTTCCAACACGTAATTCAAGAGATAACTTATCATTGCATTTGAACTATTACATCAGTTGGTGTTATACTGTGCGATAAGCGAATATTATTGGAAAGAGGGCTTCTATATACGTCAAAATCATCAAATAAACCGCTCATGCACACATTTCTCCACTTCGTGGTAAGTTTACAGAGCATATGGTCCTTTTGAGTGACATAATCGTGTGTCGTCATCGATCCGTATCGTTGAACAATGAAAAAAATTGTTGCAAAATTAGTGAAGATAAAATAGCATTTTGTGAAAAAACTGCGGGTCTACGGAATGGGAACTTTTCGGATTTGAACTCAGCGTGTTCGAAAGTGTTAGTTCCCGTAAAAATATTTCAGATCTGCTTAATGAAAGTGAACGATATCAGGTCACAACACATGGACTTTGATTTTGATAGAGTTTTGTATTACATACAGGGCTGACATTTCAACCCAGTAAACAGGGCTGAGTTCAACCCAGAGGTTGAAAATGCTCTATGTAATCGACACTTTAGAGCATTGGATCACAAAACAGTATTGCATGGGTCATCAAGATGCAATAATGGTATAAAAATAATCTAGTAAACTTTTTTAAATTAATAAATGCAGATGAAATCCACTGGCAGATCTTTTACTGTAATAAATATTCCTATTAAATCCAAATATTGTTACCCAAATTATATTACAGTATATGCCATTGTAACATACCAACATTGCACTCAGCGTCTTCTGTGTCTTCAGCTGTTTTTTTCAAATCGACAGAGCCTAATTATATAAAATTAGCAAACACAACTTTGTTCACTCTTTTTAATAATTGCTTTCGTAGTGAGCGAGCATTCAGCGAGGCAGCAACCCTAATTTATGTAGCTGGCAAAATTCTTAATGTTTGAACAAACAATGCAATTCTCATGATTGCTGTTTGGCATGTGGGTTGTGCCCTCTGCACTTTGTTAATTCTAATACAGTTTTGGTCAGTCTTTTCTCCCCTCGCCAAGAGGAAAGACCATAGTTACGAGGTTGTCAAACAAGCAGTAATGTAACCTGCGACACAGAATACCATACAGAAGTCCATCACCATTGTTTTTGCGTAATCGTTATTTGTCATGATTTGTCACTAGGCAAGTACCGTAAACAGAAGCAGCCCCCCCCCCCTCTGGAAATATGAAAAATGGCGGATGTCCAGGGGGTGAATGCTTCTGTTTACGGTACTTGCCGAGTGACGAATCATGACGAATAACGCTTATGCAAAAAAATAACAAATAACGCTTATTTTGTGCCTGCGCTCAGGCCTATAAATATATAGCCATGATACAAACCTTATTAATTAAAAAACTATGCCGTACAACCGTATTTCGGTTGTAAATCTGATTGGTCTAGGAGACAAAAGATTTTTTAATCTGTATTTGATTGGTTGGTGCTAATTAGATTATACTATTGTTGTTATTTGTGATGTTACTCTGAGTGTATATCCACAACGGGCGAGCTTGAAAAATATGCCCGGCCATGGTGGGAATCGAACCTACGACCTTTGGAATATAATTTGAATATTATTTGTAAAATAAATTAGCAATATACACTCAGAGTAACATCATAAATATCATATTCACCTGAGTACACAACACCAACACAGAATAAATCATATACTATTGTTGTTGTTACATTACTATTATACTTTAATTAATAGATTGTTGTCGTATGAAATTTAAATTTGAATATTATTTGTAAAATAAATTAGCAATATACACTCAGAGTAACATCATAAATATCATATACTATTGTTGTTGTTACATTATTATTATACTTTAATTAATAGATTGTTGTCGTATGAAATTTAAATTTGAATATTATTTGTAAAATAAATTAGCAATATACACTCAGAGTAACATCATAAATATCATATAACTATTGTTGTTGTTACATTATTATTATACTTTAATTAATAGATTGTTGTCCTATGAAATTTAAATTTGAATCACCTGAGTACACAACACCAACACAGAATAAATCGTCCTATGAAATTTAAATTTGAATATTATTTGTAAAATAAATTAGCAATATACACTCAGAGTAACATCATAAATATCATATTCACCTGAGTACACAACACCAACACAGAATAAATCGTATGTTAAATTTAAATTTGAATATTATTTGTAAAATAAATTAGCAATATACACTCAGAGTACATCACTATTGTTGTTGTTACATTACTATTATACTTTAATTAATAGATTGTTGTCGTATGAAATTTAAATTTGAATATTATTTGTAAAATAAATTAGCAATATACACTCAGAGTAACATCATAAATATCATATTCACCTGAGTACACAACACCAACACAGAATAAATCATATACTATTGTTGTTGTTACATTACTATTATACTTTAATTAATAGATTGTTGTCGTATGAAATTTAAATTTGAATATTATTTGTAAAATAAATTAGCAATATACACTCAGAGTAACATCATAAATATCATATTACTATTGTTGTTGTTACATTATTATTATACTTTAATTAATAGATTGTTGTGGTATGAAATTTAAATTTGAATATTATCACCTGAGTACACAACACCAACATGCACAGAATAAATCATATACTATTGTTGTTGTTACATTATTATTATACTTTAATTAATAGATTGTTGTGGTATGAAATTTAAATTTGAATATTATTTGTAAAATAAATTAGCAATATACACTCAGAGTACATCATAAATATCATACTCACCTGAGTACACAACACCAACATGCACAGAATAAATCATATACTATTGTTGTTGTTACATTATTATTATACTTTAATTAATAGATTGTTGTCGTATGAAATTTAAATTTGAATATTATTTGTAAAATAAATTAGCAATATACACTCAGAGTACATCATAAATATCATATTCACCTGAGTACACAACACCAACACACAGAATAAATCATATACTATTGTTGTTGTTACATTACTATTATACTTTAATTAATAGATTGTTGTCCTATGAAATTTAAATTTGAATATTATTTGTAAAATAAATTAGCAATATACACTCAGAGTAACATCATAAATATCATATTCACCTGAGTACACAACACCAACATGCACAGAATAAATCATATACTATTGTTGTTGTTACATTATTATTATACTTTAATTAATAGATTGTTGTCGTATGAAATTTAAATTTTTAATATTATTTGTAAAATAAATTAGCAATATACACTCAGAGTAACATCACAAATATCATATTCACCTGAGTACACAACACCAAGACAGAAAAAATCATATTCCTGCGACATTTTGATTGGATATTAAATATAAACTTTGCTGTAGGTGGAAAGCGATCGGATTAAGGTTTGTGCTATTATTTGTAAAATAAATTAGCAGTAATGCAGAATCGAGATTAATAATACAACATACCTTCTAAGCGGAAAGCAAAAGAGTCTATCTGCTGTTGAAAAATTTCATTGTAAGCCTCAGAGAAGCCGCTAAACGACACCCAACTGTGGTTGCTAAAAACAAAAGTTAAATCCCTCAGTATTAAATCATTCATATTATAAACTATATAGTGGATACATTTTGGATTTTACAAAGTAAACTTTAGAATTTGAAATTACCTCAATGATGGAATCCAGCGGTACAAGGCGATGTCGAAGTATGTAACATTGCTCACTTCTACCAAACGATTGTGGTTCTCTACGTCTGCTGGATACAGATGTGTCCCAATTTCGTCGCTGTAATTGCACACTCCAAAACGAATAAGGCAATTCTTGCACTCAAGAGAGACCTTCGCGCAAAGAACAGGGCCATCCAGGGTATACAAAGTTGCCTTTGACGGGAGGTTATGCATCGTGAGGAGTTTGTCGCATCTAATGCACGAGGAAAGCGGCGGTGAAATATATGTTTCACTTACATGCTTCGTCAAATCTTCGAGGGCAAGGAAAGACGAACACCAGCGTTCCAAAATTAGTGTATAGCTCGAAAGCTGATCAACAGAAGGCTTTAGTAAAGGCTGGCAGTTGGTGGAGAGGCATAATGCATTAAACATATCCCATATCAAATTTGCTCGTAAGGACTGACCCGCCGTCATTCTCTTCACATTTGATGGAATATGTTTGATAGCTTTCCTAAGAATACATACACCTTGAAAGGTCATCTTGGCAGAAAGAAGTTGAAGCGTTTCCGACTCCGTTAAATTTAGACCTTTTGACAACAGCATGTCGGCGAGATCAAATTGTTGAAGCGCTTCGATTTGGTCTTTAACTCGCTTCACACAATCATTTTCTTCGCTCACTCTCTTCCTTGCATTGTCAATATCGAAGAGACCTCCGATGCGTTTTTTCTTCGACATTGGTACTATTTAAACTCTTGATTTTAAGCGAAAAAAACCTGTGTTATTTAGTTAAGCAATGGCGCGCGTTTATCAGGAAACTGGTATCGAGGTAAACACATTAACACGATAGCACGCGTGTTTTGACAAATTTGCGCAAAGCAATTGCCTATTTTAGGCAGCTTATGAGGAAGTCATTGAAGCAATTCCCCCCGAAGAACGCGCGAAAGGCATTCAAGACCTGGATCCAACTTGTGATGCCCTTCCAATTGAGAGAACCCTGGGAGTCCAATGGTGCGTGGAATCTGATACTCTTAAATTTCGGATTGAATTGGCTGACCAACCACTTACAAGAAGAGGCATCTTATCAACAGTGAGTTCTGTGTTCCCCTTGCTCCATTTGTGCTAATTGGAAAGAGAATCCTTCATCAGTTATGTAGAGATGGAGCGAATTGGGATGACAAGATTCCAGATTATCTGTTGTCGAGATGGGAAAGATGGAGAAATGACGTAGTACTCTTAGCAAAACTAAATATCCCTTGTTGCTATGTACCAGTCGACTTTGGAGAAATCAAAGTAGTGGAAATGCATAACTTCTTGGACACAAGTGAAATTGGTTACGGACAGTGTTCCTATTTGAGGCTTGTTGATCATCTGGGTCGGATTCATTATTTGTTGGTATTGGCGAAATCTCGAGTGGCACTGTTGAAGCTTGTAACAATTCCTCGTTTAGAGCTTACTGCTGCGTTGGTGACGGCAAAAGTCGGGTGTTATTGAAAAGGGAGTTAGAGTATGAGCAAGTCAATGAGTTCTTTTGGTCCGATAGTAAAGTCGTACTTGGGTACATTTTGAACAGTGCGCGTCGTTTCGTCGCAAACAGAATTGAACAGATTCGTGACCTCACTTCACTTGCTCAATGGAGATATGTAGAGTCGAATGAAAATCCAGCTGATTATGCTTCCCGTGGTCTTTATGCCCAAGACTTAATTGACAAGAAAGAGTGGTGGCATGGACCCGATTTTCTTTGGACCAACTTTGACACAAAGAGAGGTGTAATCGAGAACACAGTTGCTGTTTCTCCAGATGACCTGAAGTGAAAAAGACTTCCTCACTTGTCACTGAGGTCAAGGAACTAGCAGACGTTGAAGAACGTTTGCGTCGTTTTCTAGTTGGTATCAAGCCAAGAGAGCTATTTCGTTAAGGTCTTAGAAAGAGCCTTACAAATCAGCTGCGTCGGAACAGTTCATCAGCCTCCGATGGTAACAAGCCGGAGCGGAAAGAAATCGAACATGACGGACAAACAAATCCCATTAGTAAAGATTTGAAACAACTAGTGAATAAAAGGCATCAAGGCTACCAGGCAAGAAAAGTTGTCCTACAAGCCAGTAAACGTTGATGAACTCCAGGATGCTGAAAGCGAAATCATCAGGACAAATCATTCAGATCACCCACAGATCACCCACTTCGAAACCAAGTCAGAAAAACTGTGAAAAAATCGAATTCAATTTATCAACTAGATCCGTTCCTTGGTAAGGATGGTATTCTGCGTGTGGGTGGCCGATTCAGACGTGCAAGTATTCCTGAGAACGTTAAGCACCCATGTATCCTTCCAAGAAAAGGCCATGTGACCGAGTTAGTTATCTGTCACCATCATCAGAAGGTTGCACACCAAGGACGCGGAATGACGCATAACAACATCAGATAGTCCGGATTCTGGATCATCGGTGGACGATCAGCCGTCGCCAGTCACATTTCAAAGTGCATAAAATGCAGAAAACTTTGTGGTTCATTGCAGGAACAGAAATGGCAGATCTGCCAGCAGATCGTCTGGATCCTGCTCCACCCTTCGCTTACAGCATGGTCGACTATTTTGGACCTTGGCTAATTAAAGAAGGATGCCGACAAGTTAAGAGATATGGAGTCTTATTCACTTGTTTAGCATCACGAGCCATTCATTTAGAGACAGCCAACAGTCTGGATACTAGTTCCTTTTTAAACGCCTATCGTCGGTTTATTGGACGTCGGGGTCCAGTGCGGCACCTGAGATCAGATTGAGGTACTAACTTTGTTGGCTGCAAGAATGAACTGAAAGAAGCACTAACCGAAATGAATCAGGAGGCTATAAAACTGAAATTATTGGAAGAAAATTGTGACTGGATTGAATTCTGAATGAATGTACCACATGCGAGTCACATGGGTGGTGTCTGGGAGCGTCAAATACGAAACGTTTTGACAGTTTTACTGGACAACCATGGAACCATTGTGGACGACGAGTCATTGCAAACCTTTATGGTGGAAGCCGAAGCGATTGTAAACAGCCGACCACTTACCACTGAAAATCCAGACCACCTTGAACCTCTAACCCCCAACCACTTACTGACAATGAAGAGCAAAGTCATTCTACCTCCTCCTGGAAACTTTCAGGGTGCCAACACTTATTCGAGAAAAAGATGGCGTCGGGTTCAGTATCTGGTTAACAAGTTTTGGTACCGTTGGAGAAACTAATTTATTCAATCCTTACAAGTACGGCAAAAATGGATGCGTCCCCGAAAGAATCTTAAGATTGGAGATGTGGTCATTGTCAAGGATATATCCCATATTGATATGTCAAGGATATTGAGACATATCCCGAGAATGACGGACTCGTTCAAAAGGTCAAAATCGCCTTAGCTGACAGTACTTTAGATGACCAAGGAAGACGAAAACGACCTATTTCCTATTTAGATCGACCTGTTCAGAAATTGGTTCTCCTCCTGTCCAGAGATGAGTATGAAGACCGGGGAGTCCCCGACAAGGAGCCATGTGTAAAGCCAGGATCATAATGACGAGTGGTAAACTGTTGACGTCAATAAACGATAAGTTTTAATTTTAAATAGTTAAATTGCTATACAATTTAGAGGAGCCATGTTAAGAATTGACTTCTAATTAGTTTAATTATTCTAAATAGTTTATGATAAGATATGCATGAATAAATAATTAACCCAAAAAAGATTAGTAGGTAGAATTTTGAATTGTGTAGTTATAGTTAGAGCGCACCGAGATCGAACGGTGATATAAACGAGAGTTATTAACAAAGAGTTCATAAAAGGGGATCTGCGGGGACAGAGGTACGTTTATATAATAATATACTGTAGTAATTTATAATTGTAATGTATAGCGAAGTAGATAGATTGATGACTTGTAATTATTGTTATTTTAGTTTTTACGTACTGTCCTGGATAAATATACGTTTAACATACAGGAAGACTATAGACCACGAAGAGTCTATGCGTTTGTGACATAGACCACGAAAGGTCTATGCATTGTTGTTGGTTTGTTTCGCCGAGTTTATCGGGACGGTTCAGTAAACTCAGCCGCTTTCAAAGTCCGATCCTTTACAGCTGTATATAAATGATATGCCCAACTGTTCAAAAAAGCTATGCTTCCAAATATTTGCTCATGACACAAATGTGTTTTACTCGGGCAAATCAGTTAGTGAAATTGAAATAGTAATGAATGAGGAAATTAAAAAATCCATAACTATTGTGCAATCAAATCCAGACAGTCATAGTGAGCAGACGTGTATTCTTGTGCTCTGGATAGACCTTGAAACATGAATATGATGGGGGCTTCCTCAACCGTTTCGAACATCTTGTACAGTTATTTTAATATTAAAAGGAGCAAGCTGATTTGGACTGGATCGTTCGAAACTCTGAAAGCGTTTGTCCTCACAGAGATTGACGAAGAAACTGCCGAAACAACTAAATGGCGCTCGCCCAGTGGCGGTAAATGGCTATTTGACAGCAAGTTGTTATCAGTTACTTGGCTAACAAAAAGCCAGAATATTCATTTCGACGGTGAGAAGGGCAGTGACTTGATGTAACAAATACATTCATTTTTAAAGCAAGACCTGGACAATGCTTCGGAAATCGATAATCCTGCTGATCTTGATCTAGGACGGTCGATTGAAAGTTTGCTAGCTGACGATGTCAGAGATGATACTTTTGAAGAATCGTTCAGTGATCAATGTGATATTGCAAAGGAATTGAAAAACCAAGATGAAAAACAAGCCAGTATAGATTCCGAAACCAGTACAAAGCACGATGAATTGAACATGAAGTCAAAAAATTTACATGAAGAGTCCATCGGTCTATATTCGGTGACAAAGTCTGGCAATCTGTAAACAAAATCAACAAATAGGCATAATCCCTTGGGAAGTAGTGCCAGCTGTAATCGCGACTCCGCTGAGATTAGTCGACTGAATTCGAAACTTGACAGATTTTCTAAAAACGTGACAAACAAATTACAAAATCTCAGCGTCAAGATAAACAACATTAAAGAGAACAAACCCTACTCTATTTTGGTCTTAGAAAACGTAGTCAATGATCTAAAGGAAGATAAGCTTGTGCTAATTAGAAAGAACGACGAACTCAGGGAACAAAACATGGATATGTCTTACATTATATCTGATTTGAAAATGGCAAACAAGAATCTGGAAAGCGAAAAGAGCAGCCTGTTGACAGCTCTTAAATTAATACAAAATGACTGCCAACAAACGTGCACGAAAACAATTGTGGAAAATGACGGCGAGAATAATGTGGAATTGGTTTGCGAAACAATAGAGGGAAGTGAAGCACTCAACCAAAACCTTCATCTAATCAGCCCGCAAACGATAAGCATCTTGACTCTTTTCGGTCACACGCATTCGCATCATATTACGACCCAATCGTTCTAGTATAAATATCTCGGCGAGTATTGACCCCCCTTTTAAATAAAACCCACCATTGAAATCCTCACCAAATAACCTTTCGAACGGGGGGTCAAGTGCCGTCTGAACATTACACAAACCAAAACAATCATATATTTACTCACCGCTTGGCCAAAGATTCTAAATTTCATATACACAACATCTTGAATACCCCTTGAACTTTTCGACATTTGCTGAACGGCTATATGTGTAAAATACTCTTTGTATTCAAGCGCTTTCGTGTAGAAAGTTTTGTATGTATACGCCGACTAGAAATATTTATTTTGAATTTTTCAAGATGTCGGGTTTTACTCGCACTTGAGTACATTGCGCAATAATTGGCCAATAAGAAGCTCCTGTAGCCGGGATGACGTCAAACTCACGCGTGTAGGTGCAATTTGACCTTGCGAATCCATTTCTGGCCTTTCCAGGGTCATACGATATAAGCGTCGCATTGTTTTGACGGTTTTCAGTCGTATTTCCGGTTGGGATTAACTCACTTCGAGCTCACAGTCGGACAAGAAATGGAAATATATTGATAAAAGATACAGATTTGAAGATACAGGCTTGCAAATAACACTCTAAATAGTGTTTTAATGGGAATTCTAACAAGCCTATTACAAAGACGATATGTTCGAAGGGGCCGAAGTTACTTTCGGCGAAAGGTATGGCTAGTCTATATTTTTGTTCAGACAATTGCGTAATTTGATACAATATGATCGTGTTGGACTTTCAAAGGCCGATAAATCGCTACAATGTTAATAATGGCTATAACTATCGTTTGGAACTAGTTGATCTTTTATTTCTGAATCGAATGGTGGTATTTCTGTCTTCATAGCACGCACTAAACCGAAGGTATGAAATTTCGAAGCCGTCGATCTCTCGAGATCGATGAGACTGGGTTGTGATGCAAAAGAGTTAACACCGAAGCTAGTACTGGGAAAAATCGTAAAAAGAAGGGAAAGAAATCTAAGTCCAAACCTCCAACACAAAATTCCAGCCAACAAACTGCAGATGTAGATACTTCTGGTGGTATTGTGAACACCTCTAGTTCTAAATCAACAGGGCAAGGCAAGAAAACAGTTGTTATTGCAGGGGACTCAATTGTTAAAAATACTATTGGTCCGAAACTGAGTGCTGACAATCCTAATCACCATTTTATTGTAAAGCAGTTCCCTGGAGCAACAGTCTCAGATATGGAGGATTTTGTCAAGCCATTGACAAGAAGGTCACCGGACAAGATGATCTTACACGTCGGAACAATTCTACGCCGAAAATAATAGCAGACTCCATTGTCAACATTGTAACACAAATAAAAGAAGATTCACCATGTACAGCCGTTGGCATTTCAGCTATTCTGGTAAGAAATTACAATAATGACCTAGCTGCTAAAGTATTCAAACTAATAATATTCTTAAAAGCTATTGTAGTCGCAATAGAATTCCCTTTTTAAGTAATTCAAATATGAATCCAAGTCACTTAAATATGAGGGGTCTTCATTTAAATAGACAAGGTAGTTTAGCTTTACAACAAAACTTACTAGGTCTTGCAAAAACTATTTCAGATTGGCTTTATCCTACTCAGTCCGTTATTCCTACCTCGCGCGGGTTTAAGCTCGCGGCACTTAATGTGAGAAGCCTAGTAAATCATATTTATGAGCTGCGAGTTTTGCTTGCTACTAGCCCGATTGTTGTCCTAACAATAAATGAGACATGGCTTAATTCTACAATAAGCGATAATGTATATATACCTGGATACAAAATCATACGTCGTGACAGGGCATTTAGAAGTGCAGATGGAAAAACGTATGGAGGTGTTTGTTTTTATGTACACTCCAGCATAAATTTCATACAGTGTAGAGACATGTCTATTGATGATTTATTAAATCTATGTATTCAAATTCAAAAACCAAATTCTAAGCCATTTCTCGTTGCGACATGGTACAGGCCACCAAATTCGAATGTTGATAAATTTTATTATTTTGAGACATTTATTGACATGCTTGATGCTGAAAATGTTAAGTACTATTTATTGGGTGACCTAAATTGTGATCTCGGGTCGCCTGATTTAGAGAGTAATTCGAGATCATTAATAGGCATCACTGAGCTCTATGGTTTACATCAATTGAAAGTGAACCGACTCGAATTACTGAAACTTCCTCAATTATGATTGATCATATATTCACCAATACACCAGATAAAATTGTTTGCTCTGGTGTTTCTCATGTCGGTATTAGTGATCACAGCTTCATATATGCATTCCATAAGCTTTCAACCGGTCTACACAATAAAGGTCATTCTACGGTAAATTATCGAAAATTTAAAAATTTTAACTCTGAAAGTTTTCGAAGTGATATTTTTTCACAGAATTGGGACGTTATAAGGGCGTATAATAATCCGAATGATATGTGGCGTGTGTGGAAAACGACCTTTAATAACGTAGTGGAAATGCATGCTCCTTTACGGACAAGGTGGGTAAGACTTTCTACGTCGCCCTGGGTCACGCCTGAGTTAAAAAGACATATGCATGAAAGAGATATTTTAAAAATCAAGGCTAGTCGATCTAAATATATTTATGATTGGGCTGCTTTTAAGAAAGCTCGCAACTCTGTGAACAATGAAATTAAATTTGCGAAGAAAGCCCATTATATGAATGCTTTTCATGAAAACGAGAGTAATGTGAAAAAAACTTGGGGTATTATTAATGAATTAACCTCAAGAAAACAAAATAATTCACATGTAAAAGAGATTAAACTAAATGGTTCTTGTTGTGTCTTTTATTTCATGCATAGAACATAATAATGAAACATAACGTGAATATAAACTTTACAATAACTTTCTAGTCTGTTCGATCGTTTTCCTCACACATGTCCTTTTTCCCAAAACACAGTCCATGTGGTCAGCAGTCATTGTCAGTCACTACAGTTCTCCCCTTCATGGATTAGAAACCTATCATGCGGTAGAACTATAACCGTAATAGTCTGGTTGCCGTTTTATAGAGCGACAAGGTCGTTGAGTAACAAATGTTTCTGGAGGTGTTGTTGCAACATCTGGGGCAGTTGTAACGGTTATTGGCACTTTCTTAACAGCCGTAGAGTGGCGCATGAGGCGGTGATTTCCATCGTTGATTAGGATGGAGTCGCCCTTGACGGCGGTGACACGAAACGTATTGGCACGCCACTTTGCCTTTCTTTTCCGAACGGATAAGGACCTGATTGCCGACTTTAATTGAGCTGGGCTGCATTTTCTTCTTAATGTCATGGTAGCACTTCCCCTTTTGCTTGTTGTTGGCGTCGTGCTGTCGATATGACCTACGGTTGATGTTTATGGGCGCTGACAGCTGTAGTGATGGAAGCTTGTCGTTGACGTTTCGTCCGAACAGCATTGCTGCTGGTGGCTGACCGGTGACTGTATGGGGCGTGGTACGATAAGCCAACAGCCAAGCGTTGATGGCCTTACGCCAGTCCTGTGACTCAGCTATTGTGGTTTTGACCACTTTGTTGATACTGCAGTTGAGCCGTTCTGCTTCGCCATTCACACATGGATACCGGGGAGTTATTTTTTTGTGCTTGATACCAAATTCTCTCATAAGGTTAGAGAACCTGGATGACCGGAAACTTTTGGCATTGTCCATGACAATTTCCTGAGGTACTCCGTAGAATGCAAAAATTCGATGAAGGCGCGGTTCCAGGGCGGCAGTCATGATATGCTTCATGATTTCTACTTCAGAATATCGACTATAATAGTCGACTAGCACCAACAGGTTTTCTCCGGTGGGAAATGGGCCTACGAAATCCATCCCTATCAATAGCCAGACTGCTTTTGGGAGGGTGGTGGGTTTCAGTGGGGTGAAACTAGGTTTTGTTGGCTCAGTCGCTACAAGACAAGGCTGGCACCATTTCACGAATGTTTCTGCCTCCGTTGACATTCCCGGCCACCATACCTTAGTATGCAAATGGGCTTTTGTCTTGGCTACGCCTTGGTGCCCCTGGTGAGCAAGCTCGAGAACTCTTTGTTGTAGGGACAGAGGGATAACTATGTGGTTATTTCTGAGCAAGACCCCATCAGAGAAGGAAAATTCGTTTCGATGGCTAAAAAAGAGACCAAGGTCTTTGTGCCTGACTGGAGAGACTTGAGGACTGTTTGAAGCTTCGCGTCCTTCGCTGTGGCTTCTTTTACTTGTTCAATGGTGCAGGCTCGTGGCAGTGACGCTGTGGTGATGGCATTAATCATTCTGGTATCTGCGTGTTCGCTGGGATTGACGTTAGCTCAGGGTGGAGTCGGCTGTCGTGAAAATACATCGGCTGCGTTCTTTGGACCCGGTTCGTAACGAATTCGTAAATTGAGATGTTGAATGCGCAGCGCCCAATGCTCGATGCGTGGAGAAGGTCGGGACCCGGGCTTGTAGAGACCAAGCAGTGGCTTGTGGTCGGTTATGATGGTGAAATCTGGGTCACCGCTGAGATAGTGGTCGAACCGCAAACAGCCAAATTTGACGGTGAGTGTTTCCCTTTCGATCTGGCTGTAGCGTCGCTCGACATCGCTTAGCGACCGGCTAGCATAGGCAACTGGTCGCAAAGTTCCATCTCCCTGGATTTGACACAGAATGGCTCCCAGTCCCACAGGCGAGGCGTCTACTCGAAACTCAGTTTTACGATCTTTGTCGAAGAAGACAAGGCATGAGGCCTGCGAGATGCTGTTCTTCAGGCCTTGGAAGGATTTCTGCTGATCTGGTCCCCAGATCCACTTATTACCTGAGCGTGTGAGGCGTCAGAGGGGTTCCGCTTCCGTGGCAAGGTTGGGCGTCAATCGAGCGAGAAAGTTGATGAGACCGAGAAAGCTCTTCACTTCGGATACGTTGCTGGGGGTTTTAAAGTACTTAACTGCGTCAACTTTCTGTTGAGAAGGTTGGATGCCCCTTGGAGGATAGCTGCATGGCCATGAAAGTGACTTTGTCGACCCCAAAAATGCACTTTGACTTGTTGAGGGTGATGTTATATTGCTGCAGTCGGTGAAGGCATGCGGCAAGACGCTCGTTGTGCTCTCGTACCGTGCGACCATAGATGGTTATGTCATCGTGAATCCATCCTACACCGGGCATACCTGACAATACCATGCTCATTACTCGTTGAAGGATTTCTGAAATGTTGGTGAATCCCATTACCAGAGTGGTACATCTGCGGAGACCCCTTGGTGTGGAAAAGGTAGCGTACTTTCTGGAGTTTGGATGCAATGCAATTTGGTGGAAACTCTTGAACATGTCCAGCTTTGACCAGATGGTAGAACCACCCATTTCATCTGTGGCTTCTTCAAATGTGGGTATGGGCTGGATCTCTCACTCGACGTGTGCGTTGACGTCGCGCCAGTCCTGTGTGATCCGAACCTCGCCTGGCGTAGACTTCTGGATGACCACGATACGTGACACCCAAGGTGTTGGGCCTTCTACTGCTCAATGATGCCAAGTGACTCTTGGATGTCAAGCTCTTTATTCAGCGCCTCTCGTAAGTGAACTGACACGCGTGAAAGGGGGTGCACAACAGGGGTGGTATCTTTTTTCATACGTATTTCGACTTCAACCCCTTTGGCACGGCCAAGTCCCTCGAAGACCTTGCGATACAACGTGGGCAATGATTCTGGTTCAGGGATAGGATTTTGTTGTTCAGTTGTGGGAGAGGGACTGTGACGAGGATCTGGTGTGACTTTGGACGCTGCTGCATCTGTGTGGATTTTGGTTGCAGTGTTCTCCTGCTCAGACGCTAGGCTGTGCAGACCGTGCATCTGGTGATTGGGTGGTCCCACATGAAGAATGCCCATTTCCATGGACGTGTCTCTGCCCAGGATGGTGGTGCCCTTATGGTTGACAATGACAAATTCTACTGAGGACTTTTTGCCAAATGCATCCACAGTGATGTGACACACACCCAAAATCTTGAGAGGTTGGCTGCTGCCGTATGGGTAGATACATGTGGATGTAGGCTCCGGCTTGGAACCCAGTTCTTTGACTTTCTGGTATACATGTAAGGGGAGCACGTTGACGCTGGCTCCCGAGTCAATGAGCAATGTGCGGGGAAACCATTGAGTAGGAGAGACATTCTAGCATTGTTTTGGTTGATATCGGGGTGGGGGTCCCCCGGGTGCTTCGGCATGCCTTTGCGAAGTGATTTCTCTTTCCGCAACGACTACATGTCTTGCCTCGGGCTTTATCACATATGTGATGTCCTAGTTCGCCACAACGGTAGCATGTCTCATGTGACGGTGATTTCCGAGTTTGTTGTTGTTCCTGTTTCCGGGCGCGCTCGACCCAGTCCGGTTCCTTTTTGCGTTTGTCGCTCGGCTTCCGGTGTTGACGAAGACTCGAGAGTTCATCGGAGCTGCTTTCTGGGTTGTTATTTTCGCTTATCTCGCTTTTTTCGATGGCTTTAGCGTGCATTTCAGTGGCTTCGAGTGAATGGGGCGGTCTTTAGTGCCACTTGCAAGGATATGTTTGGAGTTTCCAACAGTTTACGCCTGAGTTTAGTGGAAGAACAACAAGCGACAATTTGATCTTGGATTTTACTATCAGTTTGGTTGTCATATTCACACATTCGGGCTTTAATGCGAAGTCTGGTGTGCCAAGAATCGACTTTTTCGCCCTCTAGTTGTGTACATTGGCGAAATTGGTATCCTTCGAAGACGACATTGTTTTGGGCTGCGAAATATTCGGTGAGTTTCCTTGTTAAAGTTGCAAAGTCTGTTCCCGTGTCCGTAATGTTATTCTCAGCAATGTCTTGAACGTCGCTGCCTGCACAGTGAAGTAAGATTGCTCTTTGTCGTGGAGCAGCGTTTATCCCTTTTGCAGCGAGATAGATTTTGACTGATTTCACGTACCTTTCCCAGCGATGAGCCACGTTGTTTGGCTCGTCGTACACGTCGAACTTTGCTGGGGTAGCGAAATCCATTGCGAAATTATCTTGACTTTGATGCGACAAAAATAGTTTGTTTCTGTTCGAGAATGTCAGTTGAGGATATCAAATTGCTTGAAGAATGATTACGGAGGCGGGCTCTGCCGACTACGCCGTTGTTGTGTCTTCTATTTCATGCATAGAACATAATGAAACATAACGTGAATATAAACTTTACAATAACTTTCTAGTCTGTTCGATCATTTTCCTCACACATGTCCTTTTTCCCATAACACAGTCCATGTGGTCAGCGGTCATTGTCAGTCACTACAGTTCTTACCGTAATTTTCAACTGCTCTATTAATACCGGTATCTTTCCTGATGAATGGAAATGCTCAAAAGTCATTCCATTATTTAAACATGGTGAGCGTAGGGACTTGAATAATTATCGCCCAATTTCGATAATCCCTGTTGTAGCGAAGGTTTTTGAGCAAATTATTTATGATCAAATCTATGCCTTTCTTATTGACAACAATTTACTATGTAACAGCTAGTCAGGGTTTCGATGTCTACATTCAACTGTCACCGTGCTTCTTGAGTCCACCAATAACTGGGCATACAACATTGACCAAGGCCGAGTTAATGCTGTAGTTTTCCTAGATCTTAAGAAAGCGTTTGACACAGTGAAGCATGGAATTTTACTGAATGTGTATGGTCTTGGGGGTGCTGTGGGTAATTGGTTTAAGTCTTATCTAAGTGACGGCAGTCAAAAATGCTATGTTAATGGTCACCTTTCTAACAATCGTACGTTACTCTGTGGTATTCCACAGGGGACTATTTTAGGACCATTGTTATTTTTACTGTATATAAATGACTTACCAAATTGCCTTGAGCACTCCCAGGCACGAATGTACGCGGATGATACTAATTTAACATTTGCAAGTAACAATATTGACGACATAAATTATCACCTTAATCATGACCTTGCAAATGTGAACAAATGGCTTATCGCCAATAGGCTTACTTTAAATCAATCCAAAACTGAATTTATGCTAATTGGCTCACGACAAAGAATAGCCACATTTCGATCAGTTCCATGTTTAGAAATAGACGGGATTCCTATTGACAAGGTTTTACAAGCAAAGTCTCTCGGAGTGTACCTTGATATCTTGGAATATACAAATTAATGAATTAACAAAAAAGATTGCTTCTGGTATTGGCGCTTTAAAACGTGTTCGATCATTTGTCCCAGTCACAACATTGCAATTCATTTTTAATTCCTTGGTTCAGTCATATTTCAATTACTGTTGCACAGTTTGGGACAATTGCAACAAAAACCTAGCTGAAAAACTTCAAAAACTGCAAAATCGTGCAGCGAGAGTACTAACATTCTCCAGTTATGACACTAATGCTGATGTTTTAATTGAGAAACTTGGCTGGAAAAAATTATCATCCCAGCACCAATTTAAAAAAGCTGTCATGGTCTATAAATCATTAATTACATGCATTCCATGTTTGTAAACCGTGACAGTGTTAATCCTTATTTGCTGAGAAACACTGAGAACAAACTAGCTGTTCCCAAGCCTCGCACAATCTATCTGAAGAATAGCTTTAGCTATAGTGGTGCGGTGCTGTGGAACAGTCTTCCGATTGGGCTACGGCAAGCAACTAACTTGATAAATTTCTGATCGGGCTGTGCCCAAATTATTTTAACTTTCTTTGTATATATTGTTATATTAGCTTAGTACACGACGCTCATGAAAAGCAGGTATTATATTTTCTATTTAGCGTGGTTCTACTTTTGTAATTTATCTAATTTAGTTTGTTGCATGTTAAATCCTGATGAGAATACCGTGTGTAAATAAAGTTTTAATTATAATAATTATAAAGTGTAGCCTGTACCCCGCCATGGTTGTAGTGAAATTTTTCTTTCATTTCTGTTCTCAATCCTTCTGGCACAATCAACCGCTCTCCTTTAAAAATAACTCCATTCTGTACTGTCAACTCATCGTGAAACGGGTGATAAACTCGTAATTCTGGAGAAACTTCAGCTAGTGTACTTGGCCACCCTTCTTTCACAATTCAAACCAACGCCTGCAGGTGGCTGTCTGCCTCTGTGTGCTCTTTAATTTGGACTAAAGTAGTTTCTCTTACCGCTAGGTTCTGCAACATATCAATTTGCTCTACTTCTCTTTCTGTTGCTGATCTTGTGTCATGCATAATCATTACTTCTTCTGTCTCTCCTGGTCCTTTGGCATTAGGCTGGTGGGGAGTTGCTCGACTTAGTGTATCTGCCATAAACATAAGTGGCCCCTTCTTGTACACAACTTCGAGCTCAAACTTCTGGAGTCGTAGCATCATTTTTTGTAAACGTTTTGGTGCACTTAGTAGGCTTTTCTTCAAAATAGACTCTAGTGGTTTGTGATCTGATTCCACTTTTACGTTTCGACCATACAGATAACTTTCGAATCTTTCCATCCCAAACACGATGGCCATCATCTCTTTCTTGATCTGAGCGTACTGCACTTCAGTTGGTGTTAGAGACCTTGATGCATATGCCACTGGTTGATTGTTTTGTAAAAGGCATGCTCCAAGACCATTCATGGACGCATCACACTGCAGGACTGGCATTACATTGGGATCAAAGAACCACAGTACTGGTGGTTCTGAGAGGATCTGCCGGATTTCATCCAACGCTTTCCCATGTACATGTCCCTCCCATATGAATTAATTTCCTTTCTTGATCAGATCACATAGAGGTGTAGTAATTTCAGCTAGCTTAGGAGCAAACTTCTGGACGTAGTTCACCATGCCAAGCAATCGCTGCACTCCCAGCTTATCTGTGGGGACTGGCATGTCTCGGATGGCCTTTGTTTTCTCTGGGTCAATCTTTAGTCCATTCGATGTAATACGATGGCCCATGTAGCTTACCTCTTTGAGTTGAAGTTCTTGTCATGGTCTAGATAAGCTTCTTTATCGGTTGCACCACTGTCATAAACAAGAATGTCATCTGCAATGACTTTGATTCCAGGGAGACCCAACAAGATGTCATTCACACAACATTGAAACTCTTCGGGTGGATGATATGCCAAAGGGCATGCGGTACCGACCCCACAGAGTGCCAGAGGCCACTGGTACCGACCCCACAGAGTGCCAAAAGTTGTTGCATAGGAACTGGGCTCATCAAGACGGGACATGCCAAAACCCGTTCTTGGCATCAAGGACTGAGAAACAGCAAGCCTGGGCCAAATCCATTAGGATATCGTCAATGGTGGGTGAAGGGTAATGGTTACGCTTGAGAGCCTTATTTAATGGCTTTGGGTCAATACACAATCAGATGTCACCATTCTTCTTGACTGTAACCACAATAGCCGATATCCAGGTCGTCGGTGTATCTACAGGAGCTATGACGTTCACATCAACTAGTCGGTTGAGCTCTGCTTTGACTTTATCTTTCACAGCCTGTGGAATCCTTTGTGTTGGGAGCTGGACTGGGGAGATGGATTCATCAATCTCCAGATGCAATGTGCCCGGAAAAGTTCCTTGACCCTGGAACACTGCTGGATACTCCTCAATGAGATGCCGTTTGGTGATAAACTTGGGTACATCTTTGACATTTGACTCAGTAGTAAAAATGTTCTCTTTGTTAACTGCAAGTAAGTTCATGAGTTGACTAGCTTTAGCCTCGAGTATGGACTTGCAATTCTCTTCCACAACCATAAACTCTACACTGTATTTCTTGTTATTCTTAGGATTAATAACTTGAATCCTTGTCTTTCCAATAGGCTTCACTTCGGACCCATTGTACATTACAAGGGTTGTGTTTGTTTTCACCAGCTTCTTCTCAATAGGCTTTCAAAAACAACCTGCCAGTGTCCTTTTAGATAATACATTTACTGTGGCTCCACTGTCAAGTTGAAAACTTTCTAGGTTTTTGTTAATCATCAAGGGGGCACTTGGTTTGTAGGTGTCTACCTCTTCTTTGGTCTCCACCAGAGCTATATATTCTCCCTCCGATGAGTCTGTATCATCGTTGACGCCCGATACCGACTTTCGTTCTAAATGGTCTTCGTTGAGCATTACATACGGCTGCAAAATTATTCTTTCTTTTACACAATGAACATGATTTGCCCCAGGCTGGGCATTTGAACTTATCTCTGGGATGAGATTTGTTGCAAAATTTACACTTGATTATTGATTGATTGATTGATTAAGTCTTTATTAGAAAATACTGCGCAACAACCGTGCGAGCTTACATAGATAATTTTGTACAACAATGGACTAGATAGTATTAAAAATATTAAAAGATGAAAAGTGTATGCAGTTCTATACAAAGTTAAAAAGACATCTATTTATGAATGTTTTCTTAAATCGTTCTGTTCGGACCTTAGGCAGAATGAAATCATGTCCCCGTTTATGTAACACTCTTTTCCACTTCGAAGGCAGTAATTCATACAAGGAATGTTCCGGATTGTTTATTATACAGTTCCACAGCTTGTGATCTCTATCTGCAACTATTTCTGACATATTAATCTTTTTTGTAGTGTAACCAAACTTGAAAGCTCTTTTACAAAAGCGATCTATACGACTTAGGTATTTATCCTGGAAAGCACTTCCCCAAATTTCAATTCCATATAGGAACAATGACATCAAACTATGAAATATCATGCAAAGCTGATCCTTAGGGTATCCGTAATATCGACAAATTCTAAGAATATACAGTCTACTATTGGCCTTACGTAAAATGTTGTCAATTTGAAGATCCCAATTACAGGGATTTTCGTTAAAGATAACCCCCAACAATTTAAGCGAATCTTTACGTTCAATTCCTGATATGCAATCATCGAAAGCACAAGGTAAGGTGTCTTGCCTCTTACAACCATTTCCCAGGTTTTTGAAAAGTTTAATTTCATCCGCTTTTCTGTTTACCAATTTATAATGTTGTCCACTTCTTCAGTACTGGGATCTTGATCACCTCTAACTGGAACACCGAGATTCATGTCGTCAGCAAATTTTATTAAAATATTTCTTTCTGGATCAACTGCTTTTAAGTCATTGATCATAAGGGAAAACAGGATAGGTCCCAAAACTGTTCCCTGTGGCACGCCTTGGTTAATTGGCAAAAATTGTGTAGTAACACCATCCACAATCACTCTTTGTTGTCTGCCGCTTAGAAAATTTATAGTCCAGTTGACAATGTACAGATTAATATTAAGTGATTTCAACTTATTACATAGAATATTATGAGATACTGAGTCAAATGTCTTGCTAAAATCAAATGAGAAAACGCGGACAAAGTCTGCATCTTTATCAAGCCATTGTGTCCATTTATGATAGCATTTAACAAGAGCCATGGAAGAATTATGATTTTTCTTATACGCAAACTGGTTGGAACCGATTATAGATTCAAACGTGCTTGCTAATTCGCTCTTATAGACAATCTTTTCAAAAAGTCGCATGATGATATCAGTAATCGAAATAGGTCGTAGTTGGTTACAAGTTGTAACCGGTGACTGTTTTGGAATAGGCGTTAAATCAGCTAATTTCCATGAGATGGGTACCACTTGATTCTTCAATGAACAGTTAAACACTTTGGTTATAACAGGTGCAAGGTAACAGGCAAAGTCTCGCCAGAACCAATGAGGAAATTTATCAGGCCCAGAGGCAGTGCGTTTTTGCTTTAATAAAAATTGTAAAACAGTTTCTTCATCTATAGTTGGAACTACTGTGTCCTCAGGGATGGACATCAACTCTGGCATTGAATATTGCTGGTCTAAATTTGTGTCTTGGAAATATAGATTTAATGTATCAGGATCAATTATAGAACCAACTGAGGTATGATAGCTCTTGCCTGTAATCTGATTGACAGTATTCCACCATGCTCTAGTTCCCATGCTTTGTTTCTGGTTTTCATTATTAACAGCATTACGTTGGTTAGTACGGATAAGTTCATTTATGCGTTTTTGAAGTATATAATCTGCTGAGCCATTCCTGATACTCTTGTTTCTAATTTTAAGAAGATGGAGATTGATGAAGAGACTCTTACTTTTATGCAAGGGAAACTTTCATCAAACATTGACCAAAGGTTATCATTCAAATCATGAACTATACTAGATACATCTTGACAATTTTCAATGTTAATATTCCAATCGTTATGTTTCAATTTAAGTTCCATCTTCACTTTGTGTTGCTCTCTGGTATCTCTAATATACACAGTGTTCCTAATAGGTTTCACAACAGATCTGGGGAAAATTAGTACAGCTTTGTGATCGGATCTTACAAGACTTGTTATTAGAATTGGTTCCTTAAATAATAAGGGTGAGTTCATCAGGAATACATCCAAAATGTTTTCACCTCTAGTAGGCTTTTTTACCACTTGGGTTAACGATTGCTGTCTCATTAAATCATTTATGTCAAGTTGGTTTATATCTCCCACTATGATAATCTTTGCATTTGGGTTAGTGGACAAGATATATTCGCAGCCGTCAATTAAGCCATCCACTAAGTCTGATGCCAAATAATCAAAGTTAGGAGGATGATAAACCACAGCAACATAAATTGGAAGTCACAATTTTGCTCCACAACTTCTTAATCTCTTTTCTCAACTCGCTTCCTTTGCTCTTTGTACTGTTCTTTTCCAACAGCCAACACTTGCTCACCTTCAGCTTTCATCAATTCGAGTTGCTTCGCAGTCTTTTCACAAGACAGAACTATATCTATACTTTGTTGCAGAGTAAGCTTTGAGACTTGCAATAATTTATTTTGTGTGGCGTTGTCCTTAATACCAATGACAATACGATCTCTTATCAAGTTGTCTTCCAAATTACCAAAGTTGCACGTCTTGGCTAAAGTACGAAGGGCTGCAAAGTAAGCATCAACCGTTTCGTGTGACTCTTGATCTCTTTTATTAAAACAATACCATCCGTACGTCTCATTTGTCTCTCCAATACCATACTTTTCCAACTTGCTTACGACAACATCGATGTCCTTTCTCTCGTCTTCATTCGCGAAGTCCAGTCCGTCAAACACATCAAGAGCATCAGCTCCAATGCATGTCAACAGAGTTGCTGTTCTTAGTTCTTTATTTGTACTAGGGTTATTCGGATCTCGCAGACGTGCTGCTATTTCGTAGTTGTTCCACGCATGATAAAACCTTTTCCAATTTGTTGCCAGATTACCTGTCATGGCCAGCTGCGGTGGCATGGGCAAATTCACCGGAATTTGTATTACTTTAACCTCCTGAGATGCCATCAATGTTGTCGGTTCCAATCGATAAATAACTGCTTAATTCACTCCTGGTACCATGTTATGTTATGTATAAACAAGTAAAAGCTTTTTTATTTCATAAATCCAGATGATAACAATACGTTCTATAGTGTTTTTTTACGAATATCAAGTCCTAACATAAACATTGTAGTTCGGGGTGTCTGTGTTCATTTCAAGGGGCAATTATGTCCCAGGCTCCTGAGTACACCCATAACACTCCTTTTGGGAATCCTAAAATTAGATAATGTCTTCAAGCTTAAAATAGTTAATTTCACTTACAAAATTTTAAATGAACCAAGTAATGTGCCTAATATATTTTCTACATACGTAACGTCAGCTTCCGCGTCGCACACCTATAATATGAGGTTTGCTTCAAAAGAAAACTTTAGCAGACCAAAAGTAAGAACAAATTATGGAAAATTTACATTTCAATTCGCTTCATCTAAAATATGGGAATCAGTAGATTACACAATAAAAAAATCTAGCTCATCCTATCTGTTTAAGAAACACTATAAGCAATTGCTCCTATTAACTCAAATGTAATTATAGAGTATATACAGTTGTGAATTCGTTCTAGCGCCGTTCCATTCTCATTAGTAGCAAATCGTAGGCAGTGGACAACTCGAAAGCACTATACTACTTTGTCCACTGCGCACAACATAATGAATTATTAACTCCAATTTATATCCACTACTCACTATAAACTTATTACTCTTCACTTTTGTAAATAATCTATATGACGTGCGCAACTTCAATAAAAAATTGTAAATTGTTCAAAAAAGGAAAAACCTTGGAAATTGTGCCATATTTCTGAATTCTATTTTTTTTTACCAAGGCCAACAGCGGTGCTTAGCCCTGTTGCACCCCCCTCCATATAAAATCCACCCCTGTATTGCGTATCTTGAATTGTAAGAAATGCAGTTACACATATACTTATTGCAATGCCCACATTATGATTACTAGATCCGCAAGTCTGATAACAATACCATTACAATCAGTATCCTGATATGTTATGTAGTTTGGTCCTATTAGTGTTAAATTTGGTTATTTATAGTCTGTCAGGTCTTCTTTGATTTCTTTGCTGGCAGATGCACAGTGTGCTGGAAGTGACACCAGATGCTAAACTATCAAACTTCTTTTGCACTTTTTTATTACCGATGATGTTTGTTAAATTTTTTACAATTTCATGTAGGATTTCCTTGCAAATATACTTTTTAATATGTCCTGACCAAGTAATTCAGGCAGCAGGTGATGTTGGAAGAAATCTACTATAAGGGGTACAGAAACTTCAGAATAACTGGTTTCTTTTGTTACACTTAAGTGCAGGATTCCTTTGGCACATACAACACAAAATCAGCAGATGAAGAACCAGTAATTAATATTGATGTTGAACCTGCATGTAATATTTATGCCCAGGCTTTAATCGGTACTTGGTATCTGTTGAAAGGGAATTGTCTAAACAAGAATCAAGGTTGTTGAACATACTCTTCAACAGTCTTCTCACTGTGCGAAAATGGACACTTGATTTCCAGACATCTGTCACCACAACATGAACACTCAACCGTTCCATACACACTGGCACCAAGCATGAACTTCTCAGGATGCAACTTTAGCCAGATTCATAACATTTCAGGTGTTTATGAGACGAAGGGAACATTGAAGGACTTTTCCAGAATCAACAAGCTTGTTTGAGTTGGCTAATGTTGACATTGTGTGCCTTGGCCAGACTTCATTCTTTGGAAAGTGTGTGCGGAAGATAAAAATCGCTTGAAAAATGTGCGCCAAAGCTCGAAAAACGGTGGTCAGCGGTTATACATAGTATAAAATGATAAATTACTTTATTCCAGTTATCTTATTAATTAGCAAAATGTTGGAAACATTGCTTTTTATTTCCATTTACGTCCATGTTATATCACATGGTTATTGTATACCAAAGTAACATAATTTAAAAAAGTGAATAAATCTATCATGTTGACATGTTCAGTGCACAAGATTAATCTTAAATATACAGTATATCAATGTGCTGTATTTATGACAAAAATGGTAGGCGAGGTTTTACCAGCAATTCTGGTTAACACTTTAGACATTCCAGTTTGCATATGTATTGTCTATTTCTCTATATGTTTTCCTGACAAGAACTCATCGTTTTTGGAAATACGCACATACTACTCCGTAGTATAGCGTGCATATAATACATTTTGACATGACAGACAGGGGACAAAGTTCAGAATTCACAATGACTTAAATGCGGTTTTTAAATGTCACTTTGATAATATTGTCAAACATACAGCGTAGTAGCGTAGTATCGTAGTAGCTAAAGCGGTTTTTAAATGTCACTTTGATAATATTGTCAAACATACAGCGTAGTAGCGTAGTATCGTAGTAGCTAAAAACTTTGATAATATTGTCAAACATGCAGCGTAGTAGGCAGTGTAGTAGCGTAGTAGCTAAAAACTTTGATAATATTGTCAAACATACAGCGTAGTAGCGTAGTAGTAGCGTAGTAGCTAAAAACTTTGATAATATTGTCAAACATACAGCGTAGTAGCATAGTATGGTAGTAGCTAAAACTTTGGTAATATTGTCAAACATGCAGCATAGTATGGTAGTAGCTAAAACTTTGGTAATATTGTCAAACATACAGTGTAGTAGCGTAGTATCGTAGTAGCTAAAAACTTTGATAATATTGTCAAACATGTAGCGTAGTATGGTAGTAGCTAAAAACTTTGGTAATATTGTCAAACATGTAGCATAATATCGTAGTAGCTAAAAACTTTGATAATATTGTCAAACATGCAGCGTAGTAGCATAGTGTAAACTTTGATAATATTATCAAACATGCAGCGTAGTATTGTAGTAGCTAAAAACTTTGATAATATTGTCAAACATACAGCGTAGTAGCGTAGTAGCTAAAAACTTTGATAATATTGTCAAACATACAGCGTAGTATCGTAGTAGCTAAAAACTTTGATAATATTGTCAAACATACAGCGTAGTAGCGTAGTATCGTAGCAGCTAAAAACTTTGATAATATTGTCAAACATGCAGCATAGTAGCAAACTTTGATAATATTGTCAAACATGCAGCGTAGTAGCAAACTTTGATAATATTGTCAAACATGCAGCGTAGTAGCGTAATATCGTAGTAGCTAAAAACTTTGATAATATTGTCAAACATGCAGCGTAGTATCGTAGTAGCTAAAAACTTTGATAATATTGTCAAACATGCAGCGTAGTAGCGTAGTGTAAACTTTGATAATATTGTCAAACATGCAGCGTAGTATCTTTGCACAGTGTTTCGGCGGCATGTTTTAATCCGGCTTACCAATACCATGCAGGGATATATGATAGAGGTGTCATATATATATAAATATATATATTCATCTCACCACCGAAATGTTTATGCCGTCCAAAAATAGTTGATTTTAAGTTCGTATGAGCATGTTTAATACAGACAATCAAATAGTTTAAAAAGTTCAATATTGTACAGGCTTGAGTTCAGTGTCTTCAGTACTCAGACTTGTCTTGAATGTGAAAGTCTGCTACAAGTCATTTGGCACTCTTCGAAGGTGGGGCGGCATACGATACAAACAGGCTAACACCGGAACAAGCTGACACCGGTGTGCCAAATTTATTTTGTCAGTGCTGCCACGGTGCCCGTGGTATAAAAATAAATAGTCGCGTACTCTCATATCTTTATGCTGTCTATACTACAGTATTGACTAAGTCACAATTCGTTTAACTTGCTGTTAACTGCTTGCATATAAACCATGACGTCTCCTGCAAAATCGTTGAGTGTACAGGAAAGTGCCGATGAATCGGTCTGTATGCACAAAAAAATAAAACCTGGAGTTTATGAAAGTGTTGCGGACTTCTGGTTTGAGATTGAGATGTTCGTGAAGTTTATTGGAGCATTAAACACCAGCAGTTGGTACATCCTCAACGTGCACAAGGTCAAAGGAGATGAAACTGTCTCAAAGTAAGTTTTATTTATTATATTATTTACTTGAATACCCGATATTTGATCTAATTGTTGGAATGGCTGACATTACTACATGCACGCATGAAACCATCACTTCTACAGTATATCACAATATCATGCATATTATTGTGCCGAGGGCGTCATGTTGCCCTTTTCAGCTTTTGTTTGAGCTTGTGTTACTTATTTACAATTTTCGTCATGGTATATAAAAGTACGTAAAAATTTAAACATATAAAATTGATAAACAGTCGCTTCTCGTTCGCACATACTTATGCTTTGCATTCTGTATATTCACGCACGCAACATAAGCATACATACATGATTCAAACTTATTCAGTTCTAATAAATATAAATGAAATCTTAGAAACAAAGTTTACATATATTCATGTAGTGGCAACAACAATCTCAGATTATTGACACGTTCCTTGTTATATCCACGTTCTAACAGAAAATGTGTCTTGACATGCCAAGAAATGGACTCGGCAAAGAAGTTCAAGGGCTCGTTGAATTGTGCCCTAGCTGATTGTGGAGGCTTGTTTTGGGAGAATGTTAACAATTCTCAAATCCAAGCTCTACTTAGAGACATGACCAAACAGTACTTCATCACAGGAGGAAAAACTTACACAGCTGTTACCGCAGTGGGACGACAACCTTCGCAGGATGCAATTGTGGATCCCCGAGATCCAGAGTACAACCACAACCCAGAGGAGGACATATATGTTTTTAATGAGTCAGTGCAGGTATGTTATTTGATTGCTGCAAGGTTATTTGCATAATAGTGTTGATTATAATGTTTTATAATATTTCATTGCGTTTTCCACCCTCGGTCGCAGGGCTTTATGTGAATTTCCCAATCTCGTTCCCCGAGCCTGCAATCCTCGGAAGGAACATGAGGCTCCAGGGTAATCCGTTTCAGGGAGGAATCCGATTGTCCGTTGATATAGAATGCGCAGTTCAATCTTAGCCAGGATTCCTGGCTTCCGGCAACGGATTATTCCAGAGCCTCACGTTCCTTCCCAAGGATCGCAAGCTCGAGTAACGAGATTGGTGAATTTCCTTGATATGTGATGATGTAATTTCTTTTAAATTTCGCCAACGTCGTACCCAGGGATCTCACAGAGATTTACATTTTCCCGCGTAATTTGTGATTTTCTGCACGCCAATAAATGCTTGTGTCTAAACATGTATATGATATCTATTTCTTAATTAATTGCAAAGTAATGTATGATAAGTTTCTAAAAACACTTTAGTGTTAATAGACAACAGTTTCACAGCATTAATAAAACAGCAATATTGTATATAATTATGTACGCTATGGTAATTTTTTACTGGGTCTCAGTTTGTGTATTTAGCGAAAATAAACAAAAAATCATAAAAAAATAAGTATGGCCTTGATTATTACCATTCAAGTTTTATATGATTTATCAAAGGAGATTCTAAAAGTTGACCTACTCTTGGTTGTCATGGCAACGATCACGTGTTGTATATTTCGAAAAACAACACAAAAAATGATACTTTTTATTCAGAGGCTCTGCAGCAGTATATTTCGTGACTGAGAGGATGCAGAATTGTGATAATCATTCACACATAATATCACTGTTTATTGAATAAATTCGGAAAGTTTACATTTAGGCTTCGTTTCATTATTTTATGCGGCTATATTACGATGATCGGCATCAAACGAATGTTCATCGCGTCATTAAATGTTATCTACAAATAAATGTACGGTTTCCAAATTAACGCAGGAAAGTTTGTTCCCTTGTTAATGTTTTTAGCTAACAAACATAGCAAAATTTCGTCAAATTACCCTGCTGCAAGTCGAACACGTTTTTCACGTGATGAATTTCACACGCCATAATGAAACAGTCTGCCGCTTATTGTAAGGGATATTATATTTCCAATAACAACATTCATTGCGCATTCAAGCTGATATCAGTTGAAGCATAGTTAATGCTTGAAGGGAAGTATGCCATGGTGGAAAAGACCGAGTGAACTATATGTGCTATTAATTTGTAATTCACAAGCTATTTTTCATTGAAAATAAGAGACAGTCAACAATTAATACTAAATAATTGCAAGATAGTGCACTATAAGAAGCTTTTATTTATCAGCAGTTCAAAGGTCAGCTGTCGCAAATGATACAATACTTATTGCTATACAAAGAGCCAATTATTACATCAAAACTGAATAGTATACCGACTTCTTTGCATTGTATATTCCAAAATAATCCTGTTGCTCATATATACTATATTTTGATTTGAAGCAAACGCCCGAATTCACTAAAATACTCACACAAAGGGCGAATATTCTAATAATAATCATCCAAGCATGGGCAGACCCAGGCATTAACATGCCTGACCCGTTCGGAACTTTTCGTTAACTCTCACTTGCTGTTCGGTACTTTTCGTGCCATATTGTTATTTTTATTTATTATATATTTACGTTTTTATGAGTAAACTTTAATATTTACATGTGTTTATAGGTTATTTGGTTAGTTAAGAGCAATTAAGTCAAGTCATGTATGAGGCCACCACTTAAATTTCCTTGTTGACAACTCATTGCTTAGTTAAAATTATGGCCTCTATTGCCACCCGGCGTTAAAACAACACAAATTGCTCTGTCAGTTCGGCTTTCAAACTTAATTTTCGAGACAACAACTTCTAAAAAATCTATCTATTTACAGAATTCAATACATTAAGTTAAGAGTTCTATATATTTTATTCAGACAGGCACACACACGCACTGCATGTAATGTAGGGCCTTATATAGTATATAGTTTTTCGCAGTGTATATGTTTTAAACTCGAAATTGAATATCGTCTGATCATATCGAAATTGAATATCGTCACTATAATCTGATTTGTTTGCCACCATATTACTTTTATTACATCATGATTTTGCAAGAATTCATCAAGTGCCTGTGGTTTGTGGAAATATGAGTATCATTTTTCTGATCATATCAAAATTGAATATCGTCACTATAGTCTGATTTGTTTGCCACCATATTACTTTGATTACATCATGATTTTGCGAGAATTCATTAAGTGCCTGTGGTTTCTGGAAATATGAGTATCATTTTGGACTCTGATTAGTCTTGAAATATTTGAGACTCGGACTCGAAAATTTTGAAATTGAAATTTTGCTAAGACTCGAATGTATATAGGACTCGGACTTGTAAGTTGTGGATTTGACTACAACACAGGTAAATATTGCTTCATATTTTAACTCTTTTCGTTCTTTACAGATGCATGCCCCGCTCCTATGGTAATAGGTTTCCCTAGTTCGGGGAAAGTCCACGAAAATTGCGAAAATGTTCTGATCCAAAATGGAATCGCTAGCAACCGGGGAGGTGATTCAATCACTTCTAAAGAAGACAACCATACCCTTTGTGCTGGGATGACCCCAAATATGCCTCAACTGTGACATCTGTCCTCTCTGGATCATTTGATTCTAAGGGGAAAAGAACAAAAGGAAGCGGGAAAGAGGTACCATTGACCAATGTGATTTTGGTGGCCAATTTTGAAATGGACGATGACCTGAGGTAAGCAGCATGTAAAACACCTATGCCTGTATTCTAAAAGCTTGCTCACGCTCACACTCAAAAGAGTGGAGGTTCAATCTGAGCTCCCCTTGAGAGTCAGTGCAGTTTTTGAATAGCTGGGGGGTGAGTAGTCACATATTATGGAACGACACCAACCCTCCAGCTATTCAAAAACAGCATTGACAATCAAGGGAAGCTCAGATTGAGCCTCTACTCTTTGAGTGTGAGTGAGCTTTTAGAATACAGGGTTTAGCCTTGGCTATTTGTTTGTAAACTTAATGCTATGTATAAATGAACTTAATTACTTCTCTCAATACAAATATGGTCCTATATATACTCCTCCTATATTGTGTAGATCCTTTGAAAGAATTGTGCCTGTTATGTATCTCATGTCTGAGTCTCCTGACGACGCAGGAAAATACCGGGGTCAAAAAGACGCACTTTTCAGTATAGCAACCACTGCCTCGATTCCATCAATAATAGGAATGGGCTCAAAGTTTGTACAAAACAAGACCCTTGTGGATGATCAAGTCAACTTCTTTAAACGAAAATGTCCCACTTTGCCACCACGAGCCCACAAACTCTACTGTTATTACAAGGCTATTGTACACACGGTATTAAATTAAAGTATTTCTTAAACTAAATTAACTAATCAGTGCTGCAATTAGTATTGATATACTTAAAATGTTCGCAAGTTCGAATAGAAATATTCAGATACAAGACAATAAAACTGATCTGTCATGATATTGTCCTCAATCAACCCTAACATGATTTCGCTTACCGAGACTTTGATAATTTTGCATATCGCAAAAACCGAATTCAATAATTGTTTTATTACACATAACAGGTGGGAAATTCGCTGTCGCTGGTCAGTAAATTGCAGGCGCCAGCGAAAATTTTGTTTTAAATTATTAAAATGAGCAAAAGCAAGTTTTTGGGCTACTCGTTTGAGAAGAAAACAGTGGTTGTGCAAGAATTTAAGTTCGTTTATTCAAAGGCTATTGAAAAATGTCCTGGATAATGAACTATTTATTTATACGACGAAATATTGACGAAATTTAACTTTTTTCGAAGATGCAAGTTGTTTTCACTCCCTGGACAGATGAAATAAAAAAAATAAACTCAGGGTGGGTTTAAAATTTGTTTTTACCGCATTTTTCTACTCAGAAATATCTTTAGAATGTTTATTTATGATTAAATCCTTGAAAACACTTAGTGCGAAAATCGTGATTTTGCTAAAAATAGGAAAAAGCCAAATTTTCAACTTAAGATTGCAAAAAATCTAGTCGAGCGCCAATGTTTAAGAGGGCACTCGACAGCGAAGCTAAAACGACGACTTTAAATGGTAGTCTTTAATACTATGTTATGAATAAAACAACAACGAGGCCAAGACAAGCCACTAGAGTATACTAACATGAAGTAAAGGTCGCCTAGGCGCGAACAAGATCGCAGGCGCATGTGATCTTTACTAACAACAATAACAACTAAAAGCCACAGTATGGCGTGACTACTTTTTGTCTGTCTTTCTCTACATATTGTTCCAAGAGTGTTAGTGTAAACCAATATAAATTTAAGCTATATATAAACGTTCAACTATGTAACAAAGTCTTGCAGGTGAACGGGAGAATGGCGTTGGTGACTGGAGGGTCGAGGGGCAGGTGAATCTTCGGATGCAGCAGAGGTGGAGGGTGACTGGCAGGGGCTAGGAAGACTAGTAGTGAGCTCATCAGCTTTATAAGAGTTAGATGGGGAATGTTTGTAATCAGGACCAGGGAAACAAGTGGTGTGAGATGAGGGTAAAACACAATCATCGTTGTAGGGTGGAAGGGATAACTTTTCCGGGACTCGAGGTGGACAGGGAGGCTTGGGTTCATCAGCTGGAGTGTACTTGTGAGATTGGTGGAGACGAGGACTTGGAGGTGGAGCAGTGAAATTGTTGGTGACAAGAAAGCACTCTGATAAGTTGATGCGATATGGCGAGGATCGGAGTTGGGAACCAGCAAACTTGGGTACATTACACCACGACCCATCAATTGACACAACCAAGTATCGATCTCGTGCACGAGTTTTGGAGCCATCTGAACTGATATATACCAGGTCACCAACTTGAAGGGCGGGCAATGCTCGGCGTTGACCACTGGGGGTTTTAGACTTCTCACTGGCAGGGTGATTATGTATACGGTGAGAGTGCTGTTCTCTGATTAGGTGTAGGTCGGAGATGGGAAGTTGCGAATTCGTAAACTGGTCACGCTGGTACCACATCTCACGGGCATATAGACCTCTGTCACAAATACGAGTATTCAGGTTTGCCGTGGCAATCGCTAGTGTTACAGGGGAGACGGCACCACCTTCTGGAGAGACGCGCAACAGTTCATCACCGAGCTCGGCAATGCATTTCTCGGCCACAGGGTTCTTGTTCACGTTCTTTATGCGACCAATCTCAACGGTAATTTTATGTCGTCGCAATTCCTCGTCGTTGGATAGGGAAGCAAATCCGGGAGCTGGATTGACTCTGATTACTGCGCATGGGCCAGATATTGGGCGTAGCTCAAGGCAGAGGAAAATGAGGTTAGCACGGAGAGTATCATGGCATTCATTTTCTATTATGCAGGACGTGGTAAACGAAGTAGTTGTCTCGCGAACGACCAGGATGAGCTGTTTGTTTCTCTTCATTACATCAGCTGCAAATGAAAGGCCAACTGCATCAGGAGGGTCCGATGTGGACTGTTCAATCAAACAGTTGGGAATCTTCTGAAGTGAGGCACAAATGTGGCATGACTGTGAGCACCGGTCTAGGGCTTTATCAAGGTCCAATGCGTAGAAATTAGCGAAGGACGACTTGTTTGAGCTGGTGTCGAGAAGGGTGGTTAAGTTTGACGTGGAGTGCCGTAAGCAAGGCCGTCTATGACAGGGCGTGGGACGATGATACATTCGCGGGAGGGAGAAAAGGGCTCTTCTTTTCTAATGACCACTAGACCGTCTCTAGACAGAGAGGCAACATTGAGATAGCGCTTGACATCCTTAATATTGGTGGACTTCTTGGATGGACGGGTACCCTGCTTGAGATGAGAGTGGGCACGGCGTAGGTCGGGACATTCTTGGTGGGTTTGTAACCATGCAGAACGAGTGGTGAAGGGAAGAGTAACATCGCCAGAGAGGACGTCATGGACGGAAATTGGGCGGACCACAGAGTCTTCAGCTTTAGAGATGAAGGAACAAATCCTGACAACGAGGGTCATCACAGGGTGGTGCGTTGCGGCTTGTGAAGTCGGATGGCAGGTTGGCAGAGCCAGAAAGGTGACGGAGAGATATCTGGTATTGGCTGGCGGTGGAAAGGAAGGTGGTAACATGTGGGCTGGCGGAGAACTGGCCACGGCACAGTTTCTCGAAAGACTGGACGCAGGGTTTGCTGTCGGTCAGGACACAAGTTTGGAACTTGGACTGGATGATATAAGGAGCAAGATGTTTGATGGCGGACTCGATGGACAGTGCTTCAACTTCGCAGGGGAGCCAAGTAACTTGATGTTTTCTGGTCTTTGCGCTGAAGAAACCAGCAAGAAGCAATTTGTTGTCACGAGGGCATAGAGTGTGGCACCGAGAGCATTCATCTTCACAGAGCCGTCAGTAACAATCCAAAGTAGGTCTTCAGGTTTTGGGATCACAATGGACTTGTTGGATGAAAGTGCTTCTTGAGCGTGGTAGAAGGAGGTTGTAAGAGACTCAGACCAAACCACAGGGCTGCTTGATTGGTTCCCGGCGGTAATACTCTCGAGGGGGGCGAGGATGGAAGCTGAACCTTCAATAACACGGCTGAGCATTTTGTAGGATCCAATGAAAGCGCGAAGATCTCGGACTGTTTTTGGAGGGGTGCAGGAAGAGAGGGCTGCTATACGATGGGGAGAGGCACGAATTGAGCCGCGAGACCATATCCAGCCAAGGATGGTAGTTGAAACAGGAGAAATGATGGTTTTCTTGGCTGCGAGACGGAGGTCACATTTATCTAGGGCTGTCAGGACTTTTCTCCAGTTGGATAGGAGCTCCGTAGGGGTGTTGCCACCGCAGTAGAGGTCATCAGCGATTTTGGCGACACATCCATTTTGGAGGAGGTCACCGAGGACGCGGCACATCAGCTCTTCTAATGCTGTTTCCGAGCCAGGCATTCCCATGGCACATCTGGTATAAATGCGGACGCCTTTGAAGGGTGTAGCTACACCACAGTACTTGAGGGAGCTTTTGGCAAGAGGTATCTGATAAAACGACTGAGACAGATCAGAAACGATTATATAGCGCCAGCAGGCAATCTTGCGGAGCGTGGAATCGACGTCGGGCATTAGCGAGGGTTGGGGTTTACTGTATCTGCCAACATCGGAGAAGGCGGTAACCAGGCGAAAGCCACCACTCTTTTTTTTTACGAGGAAGGAAGGGTTCAGGTATTCTGCAACAACGTTTAGGTCCTCTGGACGTTGAAACACCCCTGTTTGTTCAAGTTCGTCGAACTTAGTCTGCAATTGCTCTAGTTGACCGCGAGCATACTGGGGCATACGACCTTTTCGCTGGGGTGGTTGAACTGGACCCATGTTGACGACACCTTCGATGGGACCGGCGGCGCCGTTGTACCCGGGTATAACAGGATCGAATACACGATCAAACTCCTTCAAGAGAGAGAGAGAGTGTCGCGCTTCTCGTCAGGTGAGAAAATGCCGTCAGGATCTACGGAAACTTGCTCTAAATGATATCCAGGAGTGTGGAGTGGTAGGGGTGGGGGTCCAAGGTCTGGTGAGCTAGGCACTTGCGTTTGTGGAGGGGAGCTGCTTGTAACGAGGCGAGCCTGGCATATGTGGTCGTTCTTTTTAATAAAGATCGGCTCGGTGGAACAATTGACAAGTCTAAGCTTTCTGCCGACAGACTCAAGAATACCAGGTTGGGGCCATGCATGGGAGGACTTAATTGATTGACACGAAGTAGAATCGACCCGGGGCTCAACAGCAAGTTGGGTATCGGGTGGGAAGTCAATAGGGATATCAACCTCAAGGAAACCACCAGGCCAAATAGTGGTGTTCGTAGGAGGTGCACGCAATACATGACAATATCTGACAACATGGTATTTGAAGGAACTATTGGGGGACCCATAGGGTACAATGTCAGAACCAGCGATGATAATTTCATGCTTTGCGGGTCGGACAGCAATGTCGTTGCAGGTCATAAAAGGTGTTCCGGCGAGGATATCAACATCAAGGTCTTCTACAACAAGAGCCTCGAGGGTAAGGGTCTTGCCATTACGGGACAATGACAGGCGGGTTTCGCCAACAATAGAGAGCGGAGTACGACCATCAGCTTGTAACGCAAGTTGTGAACTCTTGGATATTGGGCAACCGATGTAATGGGCAAGGGAGGCCTTTATCATGTTGGTCTCTGCACCAGTATCAATAGTAAGGCGAAGCGGGTGTTGATTGTAGAAGACGTGGAGATATGGAGATTGTGTAATATTTACACGGCAGGTAGCTGAGCGATGGTTGATGGGATGATCGCAGTCACAATTACTCTGAGAGGGTGGATAATTGTCATCGGGATGATTATCTTCATACTCTTGGGTATCTTCGATATCTGTAACATGGCGTGCTCGGGCCATAAACTGACGATCTGAGTCAGGCAGGTATTGGCAGGTACTTAAAAAGTGGGAGCGATAGTCGGGGCGGCCAGCTTGGAGGCATAGTGCACAGGATTTATTTGAACGAGGCTTGTATGTCGTTTTGCTCTTTGTGGGGTATGGGCGGTAGGAGGCAGGTGGGCGGTTGTCGATGCGGGGTGGTCTTCCAAAGCTTGGGTGGATTGTGCGCAGAACTTTGGCTTCTTCGCTGGTGCGTAGTTCTTCTAACAAAGAGTCGAGGGCTTGAGATATCTCAGGCTTTATAGAGGCCAGTGTTCGGCAACGGAGCTCTGTACCGTACCTTTGCTTAACCAGACGTGGAAGGTCTGGGCGGAGGAGTTGGAGCCAGGTAACTACAATAAAGTTTTCGAGGGAGGGGGATAGCTCTTCATCAGCTTCTGGGGTTATTCCGTGATGAGTTATTCCGCCTGCTGCTGTTAATAAATTATCTTCAACAAAGGACATCAAGCATTGGTAAAGGTCTTCAGGCCTTTGGTCTAATTTGGCCTTGATATTAGCTAGATCTAAGAAGCGGGAACCAGTAGATTGCAGGCCGTAATGTTGTCGAATGGCTTGCCATACACCGCTGATGGAGGTCGAATTTCGTACAATCGTATTACGAGAAATAACAGGAGCATAGTTAGCTAGTTGGCCAAGCATCATTTCGAGATGAGTCACCTTTTGCGCAGCGGTACGGCGTTGAATCTGGGGAATGTCCTCATCATCGTCGGTAAAACCACGGAGAGGAGAGGCATTGGTTTTCTTTAGCCAAGTAGCACCAGCGGTGAGGAACGAAGCAAAATTATGGTCTAGGGATAGGATGTATTTTAAATTGTTCTCCCAAGCCTCTATGGAAGTTATTGTTTCAGTCGTTGTGAGAGACCATTGTTTTGGTGCTCGAACGGCCGCCATTTTGTTTGTCGAAAGCTTGACTGGTAAATCTATACGATGAGTTTTTCCTCTTATTTATGCTTTTGATGTACACTTTTTCGTACGTTACGGGTTCTTTATAATCCGTGAAGCTGCCACCACGCCAATGTTTAGGAGGGCACTCGACAGCGAAGCTAAAACGACGACTTTAAATGGTAGACTTTAATACTATGTTATGAATAAAACAACAACGAGGCCAAGACAAGCCACAAGAGTATACTAACATGAAGTAAAGGTCGCCTAGGCGCGAACAAGATCGCAGGCGCATGTGATCTTTACTAACAACAATAACAACTAAAAGCCACACTATGGCGCTTCTGTGATACAACTCAGTCTGGGTGATTTGTTTTGGCAAGCCTGCCCATCTAAAGAGGCTCATGTGAACAGACATTCATCCAGCAAAAGCAAGCTATAGCCAGGTTAGTTACCTGGGCTGGCTTGACTCTAAATAAGCAGCCCCATACACATGCTTTAGGCTGACTGATAGTAGGGTTACCATTATGATAGCAAGTACATGCCATACATTGGGTAATATTGGGAAATGCTGTCTACATGCTATTAATGTAAGTATATATACTAAAACTGTCTGTATCAGTGTGGGTAGCACCAATGTGAAAATGTTGTGCTGAGTGGTTATATTACTACCTTAAAAAAAAAACAAGCAGAAACTCGACGTCTCGAATGAAGGCCCTTCGTCAAGAGTTTATAGTGTATCCATTTCAAACAAATCACACATATATTAAATTATACATGTCAACTTAGCAAATACTTAATAGAAAATACAATATACATGTATATCACACAAATAAGCTATACGATTTTCTCAACAAAACAGATAAGTAGAGACTGTAAATCGAAAATTTACAACTGAACGTCTAGATGCCTTCGGCGAAGCGACTATAAAATTACTGTCAGGCCTTCGATTTAAAAATATAACTACACAGTATATCAAGTAACTATCCGCATACAAATTAATAAATACACATTAGACATACCTTTGAAAACAACTTCCATGTATTTTATTAGGTCTTTGGAACTTTATAAGTAGAAAATTTGAATAAAAACCTTTCCTGTTTGAATGTTTGCTCCCAAAAGATCGAACTTGGCGCTTTGGTGTCAACAGATCGAATTACTACAACACGTGATATATTCTAAACATGTTAATTGGCAATCTCGAAACCAGAGCCCGCAATCCTCTGTGGAGGCTTGCTGAGGCTCTGGGAAACACCGGCGACTTTTGCACGAAAATCAGTACATTTGGATCCAGTACTCCGCTCGACATTTATAAATAGACATTACTGCCGTCAAACATGAATTATGCCGTTGTATAAGCTTATTACGACTTTAATTCTTCAAAGAACACTTGCCATGGTTTTGAGTTGTTGTAAGATACTAGTAGTGATTTATTTTAACTTGTTTAATTACGGTAAATCATGGATTGTTGTGTTATTTTAAATATTCGGCAACGGATTATCATGACCTTATATGGTAATGCTGCACTGTTGTACGTTATTCTACATTTTGTTATTGGCATATCAATATCTGAATAGTCTATTGATTTCATTTGAGAAGCTAGGGCAGATTAATAAGTTTATTAAAGTTATGCTGTGTGTTTCATTGATATGTTTAAACATAATACACAAAGAGAAATAAACTTTATATTAATTTTAAACGAATTTTAAACGATATTTGAAATTTGAATCACTAAATACGGCTCAAAGTTTGAATAATAATTAGCACTTGAAAAACAACCAATCAGAGACCGACTTTCGCCTGTGTTTCCCAGAGCCTCAGCAAGCCTCCTCAGGGGATTGCAGGCTCTGGTTTCTAGATTGGTTAATTGGCAATCTCGAACCCAGAGCAATGCCTGTGCGCGGGCTAGGATGGCATTGGCTCTGGGGAAATTGAATTTTTCCTGTGCTGTGATTGGTTTAACGTTTATCAATCGTGCATGCCGACAAAGAACCGGAACCCCTAAATTTAGGGGGTTCCGGTTGTCAATTTACCCAGAGCCAATGCCTTCCTAGCCCGCGCACAGGCATTGCTCTGGGTACGAGATTGGTTAATTTGTTGAAACTCTGGAACTTCCACTTGTCGCAAATTATATTCAGCAGAATTCAGCAGCAGGACATTCCCAAAGTTCAAATTACAGATTTACGCAACAAATAAAAAATAGACAAAACTGATATGCTGAGCCTGAGAGCAATGACAATTCAATCGTCGCGTGCGATTGAACAATAAGAAGCCGATACTGGTAATAAAGCAATCTGACTTGCCAAAATTCAAGAAAAAAACGCGTCAACCAGCTAGGTCTTGTGATGATTTTACACGAACTGCAGACTTTCACTACGAATTTGTATAGCAAATATCGCCCTAATTCAAGGTTGAAGAAACTTGAATATAGTTTTTGTCATTCCTATGCATTAATTCCTATGTGTATAATGGTCGAGTTATATTACACAGGCCGAGTAAAAACTATGCGGAATATTAGTCGATATTTTTACTCCTACTACGATTAAATTAATTGTGGAGTAGAAAATATAAAGTAAAATTTACTTCGTTATTTTGATTATGAGTAAAACTTACTCCGTTAATCGGATTTTTTAGTTAAATTGACCCTCAGTGGAGTATATGTTCGAATACTCGTATCGAAGACTGAGGTGTAGTTTTAACTTCATTTTTGTGTTTTGGAGTAAATTAAAATTAAAATAACTCATTCAAATTAGCAGTGTACACACAACTAAATGACCAATAAAAAGTTGGTTATAATAACTTTTACAAATTGGTCGAAAGATGACCAATTTTTTCGACCAATTAAGTTAATTAAGTAATAGTCAAACGAACCAAATTTAATTGGTCAAATGCGACTAACTAATTAAACAATTGGTCAAAATGACCAATTGCCAATGGTTGCAACCTAAAAAATTGGTCATTTCAACCAATCAGTTTTTACAGTGTAAAACACTTAAACAAAATAATAAATACCTGATCATTATAGCCTTTGACACATCCCGAAATATTGAGTTTAATGGTTTCACATAACCCAATCACCACAACCAAAAACCAAAGTACTTGATCACGATACATCAGGACTGCAACTCTCGACAAAGACTATGGTTTAATAAACACATGTGAAACTAACAGTGAAAGTCAAGGACTATTTTAATGATTTTAAAGTCACGTCCGAACATTAACGGAAACGGTTTTAATCACCCACATATAAAACGGAAAACTTTTTTTCTGCACAGAAAATTATACTTTGAGCGCTTAGATGTAAAGTGACTACCATATTCTCCCTATTAAACACCCAGTCTCTTTTTACACTTCCCCCAATACAAGAGCAGAAACCCCCCCAACGAAAATCTTCTTCTGTTCAGTCACTTTTTAAAATTATACGCTCTATTTAGTCGCATTCACTATTAATGAAGTTATTTTCAATGGTGCACTATGTATTCCGCATTCCAACAGTCAATCGCTATATTAAAGTCAATAATAATTAAGAAAGAATCAAACCAGAAAAAGTCAAGGTAATGTACGTGGTATAGAAACACGGTTGTATATTCTATACCATTCATGACTTTGTTTAAATATCATGCATACATACATGTTCGCATCATATTAAGTACAGTTAGGTTATAGTGGTCATGGGTCATGATGATGTATGCGAAGACCTATAATTACTACTAACAGTGGTCACTGCCTCACAAAGACATAAAGGTCCGTCGACGATATATATACCAGGGGATTTTGAGATTGTTGGCCGAATTTCAATGCATTGAACAATTTCCTGGTGTTGGTATAAAGAATCCAATCAATTGAAAAGTATAAATCAAAACTTTTCCTTTAGAAGGGTTTTCTTTGAGTTAAAAAGCCTTTGCTCGACACGTCCACGTTAAACGATTGTCCAACGCACCCACGTGAAGAGTTTCCACAATAATCCAAACATGTATGTATATATATATATATATATATATATATATATATATATATATATATATATATATATATATATATATATATATATATATATATATATATATATATATATATATATATATATATATATATATATATATATATATATATATATATATACGAGTAGGTTTGTGTATACGAAACGCAAAGAGTGCTCGATATCATAAAGATAGGGCAACAGTTCAAGCATTCGACGAGACGACGTGATTATAGATAACTCATTTAACCGAAAATTCATTTTCTTCAATGTGTAACTGAACGTTTGCACACACACGCGTATCCACACATATCGATTTCGATATATTATGTGCATTGTGTGAAACTGCCAGTGTTTTACTACTAGTTTAATTGCATGCATGCAGTAATTAATATCACTTATTGACTGAGACCGAGGGAAACAGTGTGTTTTGTGGACCCGAGAAACATCTTCGCCTCGGGACGGTCGAGGGTCCACAAAACACACTGCTTTCCCGATGTCTCAGTAAATAAGTGTTTTATTATATATCAATAGTCAACGAAACAACAAATTAAAGGACAAATGAACGTAAATACATGAAATATTTTATTGTTACAACGTTATATTAAACACTGGCTACACTGCAGTTACTAAAGCGAAAATTTTAATTACGTACTATAGGCATGTCCAAAATTTCGCATCTTCACGTGATGGCGCACATGATTTTTTTCGTTATTCGGCGGTCGATAATGTATTATCTCCCTCTCGCGCTGTTGCGAGGGAGACAGCCTAATTTCGTCACTCTCACGTGATATGCTCTCAACCAATAAAACACTAGAAAAATGCGACTTTGACTATTGATATATAATAATTCGATTTCTTATCTTTGCAACAATCCTCGAAGTTATGTCTAGTAGGAAATTAATGCCTTCCCGGTTCCGTCTGATATTAGAGCAGCTCAGTAGTGTCGATATAGTAACGGTAGCGGAAATCAACTCTTCTCTATTATAACACGACAGAGGATTAATAACGATTATGTAGTCCGGTTCAA